ATTATTTAAATTCGCGGGCCTCCAAACTAATTTAAATAATTCAAATCCTGATTTAGATTATTTAAATTATTTAAATTATTTAAATTATTTAAATTAGTTAAATGGTCTGTGCTGGGAGAAAATCTGGATCTATTTAGATTCTTTAAATTATTTAAATTCGTGGGCCCGGAAACTAATTTAAATAATTCAAATCCCGAATTAAATTATGTAAATTCGCGGGCCCGGAAACTAATTTAAATAATTTAATTCGGGATTTAAATTATTTAAATTAGTTTCCGGGCCCGCGAATTTAAATAGTTTAAAGAATCTAAATAGATCCAGATTTTCTCCCAGCACAGACCATTTAACTAATTTAAATAATTTAAATAATTTAAATAATTTAAATAATTTAAATCGGGATTTGAATTATTTAAATTAGTTTGGAGGCCCGCGAATTTAAATAATTTAATTCGGTATTTAAATTAGTTAAATTCGTTTCCGGGCCCGCGAATTCAAATAATTTAAATCTCGAATTAAATTATTTAAATTCGCGGGCCTCCAAACTAATTTAAATAATTCAAATCCCGATTTAAATTATTTAAATTATTTAAATTATTTAAATTAGTTAAATGGTCTGTGCTGGGAGAAAATCTGGATCTATTTAGATTCTTTAAATTATTTACATTCGTGGGCCCGGAAACTAATTTAAATAATTTAAATCCCGACTTAAATTATTTAAATTCGCGGGCCCGGAAACTAATTTAAATAATTTAATTCGGGATGTAAATTATTTAAATTAGTTTCCGGGCCCGCGAATTTAAATAATTTAAAGAATCTAAATAGATCCAGATTTTCTCCCAGCACAGACCATTTAACTAATTTAAATAATTTAAATAATTGAAATAATTTAAATCAGGATTTGAATTATTTAAATTAGTTTGGAGGCCCGCGAATTTAAATAATTTAATTCGAGATTTAAATTATTTAAATTCGCGGGCCCGGAAACGAATTTAACTACTTGAAATACCGAATTAAATTATTTAAATTCGCGGGCCTCGAAACTAATTTAAATAATTCAAATCCCGATTTAAATTGTTTAAATTCTTTTCCGAGCCCGTGAATTTAAATAATTTAAATAATTTAAATAATTCAAATAGAATGAGGATTTCTTCGAACCCAGACCATTTAGATAATTTAAATAATTTAAATAATTTAAATAATTTAAACCCTGATTTAAATTATTTAAATTAGTTTCGAGGCCCGTGAATTTAAATAATTTAATTCGGTATTTAAATTAGTTAAATTAGTTTCCGGGCCCGCGAATTTAGATAATTTAAATCTCGAATTAAATTATTTAAATTCACGGGCCTCAAAACTAATTTAAATAATTCAAATCATTTAATTCTTCCATCTGTTCTCTATACATATAGAAGTACATAAAGGTCCCTCTCTCATATATATATATATAATACACACATATATATATGTATACACAGCTAAGCTAGATGTCATCTAAAACAGTGTTTACACCCGGTCCGTCGAGCCGCCGCGACGTCACCTCTGAGCCACTTCTGCTTCGCGGCCTGCATACTTCGGCTGAAGCGTCTTGGGCTTCGACTTGAGTGAGGATTTGCAGCTTCCCGGATTGCCCCCGAGTCGGATCCGCAAGCCCAAGCGTATTGTAGCATAATTATACAGGAAGCATAAGGGAATAATATTAGTAATTTAATTTATAATGATAAAGGAACCATAGGGGAATAACATTAAATATGAGCAATTATTCCGACCCCGATAGTATGCCACACCGAGCCGGCGGCCATGAGCCAAAGGATCTCGGCATGGGGGCAGTACGTCACTGCTCGCTGCAGCACCTCCGCAACATGAAGGGCTCTTGGCAGGAGAAGCGGTTTAGGGTTTAGGGTTTAGGGTTTAGGGTGTAGGGTTTAGAGTGCCTTAAGGATGTACCCAAAGGGTCCTAAGTACCTATATGGGGGCCACTTACCCAAACCAGAATAGTGCTTCCTATTATAGAAACCCTAATTTAAATTTTCTACTATATTGGGTACTGAGGACCCTTTGGTTAGTACTTGCGGCTTTGAACGTGTGGCAGATGTGGGGCTTTAGGGTAAAATGGGGCCCTAGGGGTACAGCTACGCACGCAGGAACGAGCCCATCGTCCTACCCTTGCGACTGCTGCGTCTGCCCTAAACCATAAACCCTGAACCCTAAACCCTAAACCCTAAACCCTGCACCCTAAACCGTCTGCTCAGTAGAACTCAGGACAGCACGTTGTCCAGCGACTCCGCGTTGCCATACTTCGTTTCCAGCTCGGCTAAGCGTAGCCAGAGTCCCTGACGATATACATAAATACACAACATTATGTATTATGCATGTATATGTAAATAAACTATATATATATGTATATATATACACATTTCTTGGTGAGGTCCGGTGGGTCTCTGTGTGTGTTCCGAGTTGCAGAAATGCAAGATGGGAACTCAGGCACTGAAGCACAAAAAGATCTGCCCACTCTGCCTTGCTCTAGGCAGCTCTGAATCCTCGCAGCGCGAGCGACCCCTGCGGCACCTTCTTGCCCTTCAAGTGCATGACCGCATTGTTGTAGATGGCTCGGGCGACCTTCCAGAAATGCTGAGCCCCTTCACCCCCCAAATATCAAGTCTCCAGAGGCCCTCCCCCTCCCAGCCCCCCCTGCCCCCACACCGAAGCAGTGTTAAAAGTGCACGAATCTGGCTGACGGCCGCGGCCGTGCTGCAAGAGGAAGCTTCACCGCAAACACAAGTGGTACCTACGGTCTAAGCCTTCTCTAAGCCCCTAAACCAAGCCCCTGCTTGCCCACAGCGATCAGGGCCTCGATAGAGTTTCTGTTGATGGCAGCATCTGCGTCCTGACATCTGATTGGGGAACTTCAGTTTGTAGCGGTCGTCAAGCAGATACAACTTGCATTGTTAATTCCCCATCACAGTGTGCCTGCATAATGAGGTTCTTACGTTAAGAGTAATATTAATAGTTTGAGTCGCGCACGCGATGTGCGCGAAACGCATGCGGGTACACGGGCGCTATTCCTCGAGCAGTGGTCGCACTTTGGACGAAAATCGAGACTTTTTCCACACACAGGTGCCGTCCCCTATTTCCAGGGGCCTCGAAACATCGCAAAATGTATGCTTTCGGCTTCGTGGACATTGTCCGAAACGCGCTCTCGCCGAGGCTCCGTGAGCATTTTGTGGTGTTTTTAGGATGTATAGGTGGACATCATGGTGCTCTCTGCTTAGGTCCCGTGCGGTTTCCGCCGACCCTGGCGGCGTGTTGGATGGGAAAAGGAGGTGAAAACCTCCCTCTTTCCCTCCTTAGCGTAGCTATTTGCAAGCCACGAAAAATTTAAGAGCCTCCGGCTCAAGCCGCCGACCCCGCTGGAGCATAGTTGAAAGGTTTAAACGCGCTCGTCAGCTCAAAGGATGCCAAAAAAGTTGATGTGCTTGAGCCTCTGTGAAACGTTGCCAGGGCAGCCTCATCAATTGGTAGGGGGTTAGGGGTAGGGGGGGGGGGGGGGGGGGGGGGTAGGGGGGGGGGGTGGGGGGGGTAGGGGGGGGGGTAGGGGGTGGGGCGGAAGGGGCGGGTTTTTTGCCCAAAGCCCCCATGTCCTGTGCTTCGCGGTTTGGGGGAGGATTTGCAACTCACGATGTTGCAAATCGCGCTGTCCCCTAGGCGCCGCGCACATGGACGTCGGTATCCTGGTAACTGCCGTCGTTTTTTGACGTCGGTTTTCGCGAATGCGAAACTGTCGTCACTTTTTGACGTCCGAGTCGCCAAATGCACAACTGTCGTCGCTTTTTGGATGTCTCGGTTCGCGAAATGCGAAACTGTGTCGTCGTTCTTGGAGGTTGGGCTGCGCCAAATGTGAAATCCGGGGAGCTCGATGCCGAGGACGTCGGGAGCTCTGGTGGCTCGAAAGTCGATTTTGGTAGCACGTAGTACGCGGAGGACTCATGTTTTTCTGTTCAGTCAGAGCTGCAGAGCCTCGGACGTCTCTAGTCATCGGCCTCGTCGCCCGAGCTGCAGAGCCTTGGGCTCATGTTGTCTTTTCAGAGCTAAAGGAGCCTCGGGAAATGGCTTGCTCCCCTGTTTTTCTTCCGAGGGCTGCAGAGCCTCGGTGGTTTGAAATCCTCGATTCTCGGCCCCGCCTGCGACTCAGCAGTCTGGAGAGCTGCAGAGCTTCGGAGACAGGTTTTTCTTTTGAGAGCTCAAGGAGCCTCCAGGAATGGATCGCTCGCCTGTTTTTGCGAGAGCTGCAAAGAGCTGCAGGGCCTGATTCTTCTTGTTGGGACACCTAGATCAGCCGTGTAGCGCGGGCAAAAGTAACCAGCAGGATGTTGATGTGCGAGTTGCGCTGTCTCAACGTTTCTGAAAGCCTGAGGCCCTCACGTCGCGGCCAGCCCCACCGGATCGTTGTGCAACTGTTCCGGATCTTACTTCGGATTTCCTGGCTGGCGTCGGAAGCAGTGATATTGCTCCCTCGGCCAATCTTTCCAGCGCCCCGCCGAGCCATGATGAGAGGCCACAACTTCCAGGTTGATCTGCTCGTTCCACTGAAAAGCCCTGGTTTGCAGACTCTCTCCGGCACTGGGTGGGCACATAGCTTGCTTCACCGCACCCACAAACTCTGCATATCTCATCACTTCTCCGAAGTTCCTCTCTGCGTGTTCCTTCCGCTACGAAAATCGGTTTAGGGTTTAGGGTTTAGTGTTTGGGGTTTAGAGTTTAGGGTATAAGGTTTAGGGCTTAAATATCTTGTAGACATGGTGTGAACATGTTGAAAGGGCCCTCTGCGGGGACCTGCGGCTCAGCTCTTGGCTTTCAAAATCGGCGCAAGTGTGCTTTTGCAACTTCATGTAACTTCGTCCCTTCCGGAAAGGCCCTAAGGGGAATCCCTTCACCAATCCCTCTCAGCCTCAAAAAAGTTCCTCCCTGACCCGAGCCACTTCTAGCCAAGTACGTGCCTTCACTTACTTGGCTGCAGACATGCCTGCCTGGATCCAGTTCTGCTTCATGCCCTTGACATCTTCATCCACGCCGACCTTGCAAGGAAAGAGAGACGTACTGTAGATCGAGGTGCTTTCGCCCGCGCATGTGTGTGTGTGTGTGTGTGTGTCTCTCTCTCTGTGTACATCCTGAATCCACGTGCAGCTGGGATTGTGAGAGAGGCGAGCCATGGCGCGACTATTTCATGATTTCTCAACTCGCAGCAAATGGGGGTTTACGAAAATAAAGGACCCCCAATATAGACCCCAAATAGTAGGATCCCCTCATGATAAGGACCCCAATAAGGTACCCCCTTTGTCGGAAACCCTCAAATGCCTCCCGAGTCTACTAGTCCCGGCCTTGATGGTGACCTTGATGATGGCCTGGCATGTCTTGATGAAGCCTGTCTTCTCGGCCTGCCATGCCAGTCTAATTAGGGGCTTTCACATAAACAAGGAATGCGGAATCATTGGTCCAAAAAACAGCTGAGCTTTTATAAAACCCTCTCTTGCTCAAGTTTTGCGCGCGCGCGCGCACGCGCGCCTTGAAAGGTGCCCCCCTCAAGGCCCATGGGGCTTATGGGGCCCAAGGGGGCCCATGGGGCCCAGGGGGCCTTGTTGGTTACATTGTTACACGGCCAACTGTTAAAGCGCCAATCCCTCCATCTCCCGGCGACATCGAGGGTGCCCCTTGGAGCAACTTGCCTTTCTCCACTTGCCTCGCCTCCTCCAGCCCCAAATGGGCCGGTGGCTTTTATGGTGTTGGTGCCAATTTTGATGCCTTTCGCATCCTTAGCGTGCCTGGGACGGTCCTGTCCCATGGCCATCCATGGCCATTTCCTGAGCACTGCTCCGCATCAGCTCGTTTCACCCTCGAACTTCATGCCGGGCGTGCTTCGGACTGCGACTCAAACGCTGTGAAAGCAGAAGGTGACAAAACCTGCCTATACCTTAATGGGTACATTCATGGGCAGCGATAGACATTACACTGCAAGAGCAGCGGCATTCCCGCCTCTTCCGCTTGCTTCAGCCACCTGCGGGATAAGTGCCAGGCCGCAGGCTGGGAGCGGATTCGAAGGGTGGGACGATGTGGGGTTTAAGAAAATAAGGGAAACCCAATATAGACCCCAAAATAATCGGAACCCCGTATAATAAGGACTGCAATAAGGTACCGCTAACATCGTAAACCCCCATGTGGGACGATTCGTCCCAAGGGAAAAGCGCCTGCGTTACTGAGCCGCTGGCATGTCTCGGTCCGGGGTCACACCGTTTGCAGCAAGGGAGTCGATGGCTCGCGTCAGAATCAGCTCCACCTCCGATGTCGGTTTCAGGGATTTCTCCAAGTTGTAGCTTCGACCGATGGAAACAGTTTCGGCGTGACACGGAAATCTTGGCGGGCACTACCTGAGAAAAAATGTAAAAAAAAAAAAAAAAAAAAACACAGTCCTGCTGCCAAGCCTCTTCAAAATCAGCAAATCTGCGTTCCCATGCTCGTCTACCCCACTTTTCAAAATACCTTCCCACGAAGCCGACGTTTCACCTTTCTGCTTCTCCCAATCTCGGATCCAAGCCATCTTCTCGTTGCCCTGCGTCTCCTCCAGCTTGGCAGCCTTGTCATTTGCAGGCGCCGCCGATTCTGGTCAAAAGCGCACTGGGCATGCTGGCGAGTCTCAGCTCCAAAAGCTCAAGTTACGTCCGCTGACGTGACGTCAGCATGAACTGGCACTCGATTCGAATCCATTTCAAGAAATCTTCGGAACCCCTAAGCCCTAAACTCTAAACCCTGGAAGGACTGAACATGAGTGACCGAGGCCACCACTGTCACCCAGATCACCGGGCTAGTCCTAGGTGATGGGTCTGCAGATTCATCTCAGACCCGGGAACTGGTAACAAAAAAGAAGAACTCTCCACACAGGCGGCACTGTAGCAGGCTCGCAGCACAAGGGCTCTAAACCCCAGCCCTAAACCCTAAACCCTAAACCCTAAACCCTAAACCCTAAACCCTAAACCCTAAACCCTAAACCCTAAACCCTAAACCCTAAGCCGCCTAAGTGTTCCGATCTATCCAGCGATGCCGGGCCCGCAGCGGGATGTGCTTTCGTGCCTCGTTCAGCACCTTCTGGGCATCCTGGACATCGTTTTCTGGTGGGTTCCGCTACACGTAAACCCCTATCTTGAGCCCGACCCACATGCAACTCTACAAAATCACATGGGGGTTTACGAAAATAAGGGACCCCTCTTTATACCCCAAATAGAATATAGTATAATAGAATCCCTTTAAAGGGACCCCCCCATAAAGGGTACCCTCTAATGTCGGAAACACTGAGGACCATCAGCTTATGCCTTGTAGGCAGAAAGCTTCGCCAATGCAAGCCACATCTCCACCTCCGATTCGGCGAGGGGTTGGTGTAGGGTTCAGGGTTCAGGGTTCAAGGTTTAGGGTTCAGGGTTTAGGTACAAGCCCACCTGCCTCAGCTAGAACAAACTGCGGCGCTCATGAAAACCCAGTTCTTGCCAGTCTGGGACCCACGGCAAACAGAGACCCAGGGCCTTTCCACGCAAACTTCATCTGGTAATATTCCAATATCGCAAGCTGGTGAATGAAATCAACGGGCACTTCGTTTTCCTTGAAGTTGTGCATTCACCCTGTTCATTTCTAATCGTATCCGCATTCAAGCCTGGGCATAAAGCCTGCACAACTCGCACACCTCAGACTGCCTCAGACGGGTTTAGGGTTTAGGGTTTAGGGTTTAGGGTTTAGGGTTTAGGGACTGTTCGAAGCTTCTGACCTTTTCGGTGCTCAGCAGGTGGCTCTTCTGGCTGGTTCTTAGTAGGGAATGAGGGAATGAGGTGCCCACATACTCCCTAGTTCCCTCATTCCCTACTCAGCACCAGGGGGTCTTTGTAATTACCCTAAACCCTAAACCCTGAACCCTCAAAACGTGGCCGTTGGTGCTTCCTGGGTGCCCGGGCACTGTGGGGCACGCACTCCACAGCCCGGCTCAACATCACACGGGCTTCGGTCTCATCCTGGCTTTAAGGCGTGTTAAGGGGCAGATGCTTGAGAAGCCCTACAAACCCCAAACCCTACAAACCCTAAACCCTACAAACCCTAAACCCTACAAACCCTGCAAACCCTACAAACCCTACAAACCCTACAAACCCTACAAACCCTACAAACCCTACAAACCCTACAAACCCTACAAACCCTACAAACCGTAAACCCTAAACCCCAAACCCTACTTAAACTGCACCTGCTGCACTCCGCCACAGGTTGATGAAGGCCTCTGCCGGTCCCTTAAGCCCAGCCTCCAAGCTGACGGCCTCCTTCCACAATCGGACGGAGTTGGGGATGAACTCCAGGGCCTTGCACACACCCAGGTTTAGGGTTTAGGGTTTAGGGTTTAGGGTTTAGGGTTTCTTGAGGTTCCCAGAGAGCCCAATACCCCTTAATGAAGGAATATTCCTCAAATCATAATGAGGATCCCTTGATGATTTAAGCTATATTCCTTAATTAAGGGGTATGGGGCTCTCTGGGCAAGGGAACATGGGCTCTTTCCAGAATGTTTAATAGGGTTTACGGGCTCTTTATAGGGTGTTTTATAGGGTTTATGGGTTCTTTAATCGGGTGTTTTTAGTCTTTAAAGGGTGTTTATAGGGGTTTAGTGGTTCTTTATAGGGTGTTTAGTACTACCACCTAACCCCACCAACAACACACTGCTCGGAAAGGGAACCTTCGCAATACCCTTCAGGCTCCCTAAACCCTAAACCCTAAACCCTAAACCCTAAACCCTAAACCCCAAACCCTAAACCCTAAACCCTAAGCAGGGCCCTCTCACCCCTCCCCTCCATCGCCTTTCGCAAGACGCGGCTCTTGGCCTGAAGGTCCTCACGGAGCATCGCAGAACAGGTGCGCATGGAATGCATGGATTTTATAGTGAATTCAGTGATGAGGAGCCGGTTTAGAGGAGCCGGTCGCAAGTAGTAAGTAGTGCTTTGGGCCCATTTGGCTCATGAAGAACTTGACAACCCCCCCAGCCCAAACACATCCAAACCCCCCCAATTCCCCGGCACGCTAAGCTGCTAAACCCTCAAAGCTGCCGTCCGTCTCTCGATTGGCCGCGTCGATCCACAAACGCACGGAGTGCGGCAGGGACTTGACAGCCTCCGACCGAGAACATCAAGCTGCCAATCAGGACAACAGGGTTTGGGGTTTCAAGGTTTAGGGTTCATGAAAGCAGCTGAGCTACTCCGCACCCCCTTGGAGATGACCCCCTAAACCCTAAACCCTAAACCCTAAACCCTAAACCCTAAACCCTAAACCCTATAAACCCATGTGCAACCCCTTCTGTCTGCCAGCCTTTGCGAGCACCGCTTTGGCATGAGTCGGCTTCTCCAATCGTGCCGCCTCAAGCCACACGTCCTGTGCAGTTGCATCTTGCTCGTTTAGGGTTTAGGGTCTAGAGTTTAGGGTTTAGGGTTTAGGGATTAGGGATTCCGAGCTTGCTTTCCGCCTCTCCACCCCCACTGTCGTCATAGTTGCGATCTTTCTGTGTTGAGGGCACATGAGTCCTGAGGGCTACTAATATCCTACGCCACTGTCTCTTGACTTCTTCATCCACTAGGGGCCGCTTTTCGCCACACAGTCCCAAAGTCCTACTGCCAGGCGCCTTGGGGTCAAGTATCTCTATCAACAGGTATCTATACATATATATGTACATATATCTCATCATTTCATTGAAGAAACGTGATTGCCTTCAAGTTGCGTTCATCAACCAGTAATCACGTTCATGATGCCTTCTACATTATTAACTGTTGGGAGCCTACATGTTCGTTCAGAGGTATTCGTATAGGTTTTGTTTGCGCCACCCCGATTGTGTATATTCATTCCAAGCTGAAGAATCAACTACAAATGGGAAGATCCGAGTACAGTACAGTTAAGAGTCGAATTCACGCAGTTCTATCGATGAATGCCCCAAGGTTGACCTACTCTAGCGAGTTAACGACATATGTACTTGTCAGAAAACATATGGATGCCAAAACAACATATGCATAAGGGGATGGAAAAAAAGAACAAAACGAAAACCTGGACCCCTGTGAAAGCCGCCAGCGTCCAGTCCTCGTTGTTCGGGCAGTGCTTGCATCCCTGCGCGATGAGTTGCCGAGCTGACTGCACCTGCAAGGCAAAAGAACCCCCCAAAAAAATATTGTTCCTGATTAAGGGGTAATCTAGGGACTATTATTCTGATTTTTTGGGGGGTTCTTAAGCAAATAGTAGGCCAGCGCTGTGGGGAGCTGTGAGTTTCATGGCAGGGTCGTACAACACATTGGCGTACTCCAATATCGAAGAAATGTAAACTACAAGTGTATCTTTTCTGAGACGGTGTAAATGTTGGGGCTCAGGACTTAGTCAGTTCTTTGCGGTTTCGAGATTTTCCCATCATGAGGCCCTAAACCACTTGAATCCACACTGAACCTGTGGCATGGTGGTGGAGCAGGGACACGCGGAATGATTTCCGAAATCCACGAAGTCCCAGAGTCACCACAGCCATGAAGAGCCTGCATAAGACTCAGCCCAATGGCTGACACCCTTGGACTTTGTCAGGTCTCTAGGAGTCAACCTTCTGAGTTCGCGCAGGATTTCGAGCGACTGAGCAGTAGCGAGTGGCTCAAAGGTGTTCCCCCTTCACTTTGCAGTCCTTCGTAGGGATTACAGTGCCCCTGTAGTAGGAATTACAGTGCCCCGATTATAACCCCTATGACGGACTGTTGGTATAAGGGGAACATCCCATCAGCTTGTGGCTCCCCCCCTTGGGAAGGTTTCGGGAGCCAGCCAGGATCTCCATGACTCAGATCATTTAGGGTTTAGGGTTTAGGGTTAGGGCTTCGGATCGATTCCTGCACTAGCGCAGGATTTTTTGCCGGGGACCCCAGTACCGCTTGCTTGCCATGGAGTGCGCTACGCCTTGGTCAGAAAGTGGAGCACTTGCTTTGCAGCAAGGATCCACCTCCGAGGGCGAGCAGTTTGACATCATAGACCTGGATCTCGTAGGGGCTGCAATTTGTCAGCTCTCTCATGGCGCTGCTGTTTCACTCAGGGCCCTACGCTTGCTACTAGAGCAATGGGTGGGGGCCAATTTGGAGTCTCACAAGAAGATAATCCGGCGACTGGCGGTGCAGGCAGTGGAGAGAGCTGTTGAGGTGACAAGGCTTGCCAGTCCCAATGCTACTGCTACTGCGCAGAAGTTTGCCGCTGAAGTGTGGGAACCATTGCCCTGTGCTTCGGGCCCTTATGCTAGGGGACGAGAGCTCTTCGCAGAGCTGCATGATATGACAGACTCGTGCAGGCAAGTTCCCGTTTCTGCTCTTGTGGATCAGTCCTATGTTCAAGGTGGCTGGTACCGCTGTGAATGCAGCCAATGTGGCCGACATTGTGCTAGCTCTGGACAAAGCTTCGGGACAAGCGGGATTCAGATGCTTGCTTCTGTCGATTTGTATGAGACATTGGCTTGCAATTCTGGCACGGGCGAACAAACCCCAGGCTGGAGCCCGCTGCTGCTTTCAGGCAACTCATTGGTGATGAAGGAGAGCTGCTCTCACGTTGAGGTTGCGAGTTGGCCCCTGGCGCTGATGGCAACGATGGGCAGCTTCTTCATGATGGATTGCCCGGCTTTGCTTGGGGGCAAGGTTGGGCCATTGTCTCCTTCGATCTTGGAAGGGTACTATCAAGTCATTGGATGCTTGCCTGGCTGTTCTGATTCGCAACATGTGGGACCCAGGTGGCGACGAGCTATGTCGGGCGGATAAGCGCTGCTTTCGTGGTGATTCATGGAGCGGAGCATTCTGTTCTGACGCAGTTGGGAGACGAATTTCATGTCTTCCTGTGATCTGTTCCTCTTCTGCTTGCCGATGATCGCCATTGTGCTTTATGAGCCCTTGGCATGAAATCCTCGGTGCATGCAGAAGTCTTACTTTTTGATTTTGAGGCAGGATGCAACTCTTGGCATACGGTTTTTCTTCAGCTTGCTGGCCGGTTTAGGATCATGAGGTTTCCCTGCCTTGCCAGGTTCCCAGATTACTGCTCCACATTATGCTAAGCATGATGTGAGTGCACACTGGGCCGTGTCGGGCTCGCGGAGCTCTGCATGTTCTAATTAGGGTGCGTACTTCCTCTAACCAACTGCAAATGGGAAATGGGTTTAGGGTTTAGGGTTTAGGGTTTAGGGTCTAAGAGGGGTGAAAGCATATCTGGAGCAAACGCAGCAAACTTCAACAGAAACCGACTCCCAGTGAAACAGGTGCAATCAAGGATACAAAAAATCAGCAGATCCGGTATCTTGACAGTGGGGTTCTTGAGATCCAAGAGAGTGCTCCAAGTTACAGCACCTTTACAAGATTTGCAGTGGATCTGCAGGTGTTCATGGCCATTGCTCCATCTAACGGCTCAGATCAGATTTCGAAACTTACAGCTTCCGGCTTACGCTCGAGAGAAGACGTGATTTTGAGAGAAACCCCTGAAGGGCCTGAAGCGCCCACAACGCACAAACAGGCAACACATGGTTGCAGAACTGGTTCTCAACTGTTTCCCTTAACCCAATGACATGGCCCGAAGTACAGCGACAAGGGCTTAACGCTAAACCCGAAAACCCTAAAACCCTAAAAACCTAATTCCCTAAAAACCTAAAACCCTGAAGCCCTAAAACCCTAAAGCCCTAGAAGCCCTAAAGCCCTAGAAGCCCTAAAGCCCTAAAGCCCTAAAACCCTAAAACCCTAAAACCCTAAGACCCTAATTAAGACCCTAAGACCCTAAGACCCTAAGACCCTAAAACCCTAAGACCCTAAAAAACCCTAAAAAACCCTAAAAAACCCTAAACCCTAAACCCTAAAACCCTAAACCCTAAAACCCTACAGCAGGCCTTGCCGGCCACCTCCTCCAGACGCGCGGCGGCAATCCAACCTGGCATCGGTTCACGCGCTCAAATTCCTGAGGCCCGGGCTACCCTAAACCCTAAACCCTAAACCCTAACCCCCAACCCTAAACTCTATGCCCTCATGAAGCCACCGACCAAACAGAACGGGCTGGTTCTTCGTAGGGAACGAGGGAATTAGGGCCCTACATAATCTTTTTGAGGTTCTAGAAAGGGCTCTCATTTCCTCATTCCCTACTAAGAACCAGGGGGGCTAAAGGGATTTGGGCTACAGCTTGGGATGTTGCCCCTTATCCTAACAGTCCTTCATAGGGATTCTAGTACCCCCGATGATGATCCCTATGAAGGTCTTTAGTATAAGGGGGAACATCACTGAGCGGTTCCGGGGTTGTGTTCTGTCGATGCAGGCAGGCAAACGAGTCTGAACTGAGCTTCATGGTCGCCCAGCATCCCTGTTCCAGGAAAGCTTGACGCAGAAGATCCGCTACAGATTCCTTGAAGGCTTCGTGGCTGGGTGGAATGGCATCCTCGTGTCGAGTTCTCAGTGAACACTAGAAATTCAAGGGATACTTGATTCGCAAGCCTTCGACGACCCTATCCGACACCCTTATGAAGCTAAGCAATCCTGCTTATGAATCTATATATGTAATACATATAATAGAATAGAATAGAATAGAATAGAATATATACTAGCTGCTACAAGCTCGACGTCAAGCTCTCCACACGATGCCCCGCAGCCCTTGCTGCTTCGGGCGACCGTCGCTATGCGGACACGGAGGGAAGCTCTCCACGTAGATGACATGACATGCGCCGCTTGCATGGGCCTTAAACCAACCCTAAACCCTAACCCTAAACCCTAAACCCCAAACCCCAAACCCTAAACACGTGAGCCTTGGGTTCCATGCGGGTGGCACTTCGCTGGAGAGCCGCCCTGCAACGGCTTCAGGTCATATGTACAGCATGGCAATCGCGGGGACATCTGGTTTAGGGTTTAGGGTTAAGGGTTAAGGGTTAAGGGTTTAGGGTTTAGGGTTTAGGGACGCAGCTTCAAAAGCGACCAAAGAAGTCTGGGAACAACATGCGAACGCCCTGCAAAAGCCCCCAAAGCTTTCTTCCAAGGATACCGATGTGGGAGCGGTTCTTGTTGTTGTTAAGCTTCTGGAAACATTAACCCTAAACCCTAAACCCTAAACCCCAAACCCTCAACCCTCAACCCTCAACTCTCAACCCTGAACCCTAAACCCTAAACCCGAAGCCCTAAATTCAGCTGCCAAGGCCGTCTCTTCGCCAAAGAACGGACGAAGCATGAGACAAACAACGCTGCAGCTGAATCTTCAAGAGGCCAAACACCACCCCCTAGGGTTTAGGGTTTAGGGTCTAGGGTCTAGGGTTTAGGGTTTAGGGTGTAGGGTTTAGGGTTTAGGGATTTCAGAGCTTGACAACTGAGTCTCACACACTGAGTAACCTTGAACATGTGTCCATTACTACTTCTCCAGACTCGATTCCGAATGGCATAAAGGGTCGTTCATGTAGGGAACCGCTCTGCTGCCAATGCATGGGCTGTAAAAGCTAAAGAAAACCTAAGCCCTAAACCCGAGACCCTAAACCCTAAATGCTAAACCCCAAGCGGCTCTGCTTTGCTGGATCAGTCCGTCCTCGTTTTAAAAAATGACCGGCCATCGAAGAATATGCATAATTTGAGAAATATACTGGACCTCCAGCTGTGTCAACCAAACAAGGCAATATGCATGTTCAACTTGGCGGGAATTACGGAGTCCATGAATGGGCTTTATTTAGATGAACATCAACGAAATTTCATGATTTCGTGAGATTTAATCGAGTTGCGATGTCAGCTACTGCAGCATGTAACTGAAACATAACTTTATTCCGCAATAAAACTTATAGAATAATGATCTTAAGAAACTGGCCCTCTTCTCAGATACTGGGACGCATGATTCTCTACATCTGTAGCGGGCTAAGACCCTCGATGAAGCACCCTAGACGTGTACAAGAGAGGAGCACCATCAAGGGCATAGGTTGGAAGACCTTCATGTCTTGACAGGTACCGATGTTCACTTCGGCTTTCTACAAGGAGCACCGCTGTTGAATCTACAGCCTGCCCCCACGAAAGCCATGAAAGCCATGTAGATGGTCTCAGCTTGCAGGCAAGAGCGGAGTAATCACAGAACTTGGAGCAAGCCTGTCGAAGGAACCCTTTGAAGGACGAGTTACTTTGCAAAGTTCTTCTCAACAGGCTTCTCGGGGAGTTGAACACGACAGCTCCACGGGGGTTCACATAGGCCTGCAGGATACCTTCCAAAGGTATTCTTCAAGCCCATGTATTGCAAACAAGACGAAAATTGCAACTTGCTGGTGAAACATAGATCGTTGAGTGCACATGAGTAGTTCCTCAACCCTGATCTGCTGCATGCCTCTATGATGTATCTGACAGGGAACCAAGGCATAGGAGCGTGCATTCTCAAGCTGCGTGGATTCTGTCCTGGCAGCAAGGCAGACCCAATATTTGCCTGCTATACCCCCAAAATGGAATAGAATCCCAAAGTGGGTACCCCTATTTTCGGAAACCGGAAACCCCATACTGAACTACTCTGTGGATACTCTTGTCTGCGTCTTCGCCTGGCGCATGGACGTCATCATCGCCTTCGGAATCAGAAACCACAGAAGAGAAACATGTTCCACCCACGGCTGGACCAATGACTCCCTGACGAGTGGTCCATCCCTAAACCCTAAACCCTAAACCCTAAACCCTAAACCCTAAACCCTAAACGCCCTAAACCCTATGTCTGATGGTGATCCCAGCCGTGACACAGATTCAAATGACACAGATTCACTATTTTCACACAACCCTGGAACAAAACAAAAGTGTGCCAAACCCCAGCACAGTGATCTCCCAAACCCTGCCGACCTTCCCAAAGCTTCTCCCCAGCAGTAGAGCTTGGATCGCTCACGCTAGCTTAGAGTTGAGGCATCAGGTGTCAGAGTTAAACCCTAAACCCTAAACCCTAAACCCTAAACCCTAAACCCTAAACCCTAAACCCAAATTTCAACTGTGCACCGGCGGGCTCTCCTCAAAACTCTGTGCTCTGTAAACCCGAACCCCGAAACGTACAGGAAGAGCGTAAGAACTTCCGAATGCAATGCCTGGTTTAGGGTTTAGGGTTTAGGGTTTAGGGTTTAGGGTTTAGGGTTTAGGGTTTAGGGTTTAGGGTTTAGGGTCACGATGGACGCCCACGGTCCCCAAATATTCGGAAGAATGCAAGCAACTTCCGCCACCTGGCCCTCGGTGAAGTTCAGCTTCTTCGAACTGCTGATGCAGAGATGAAGCTCCTGTCACAAAGGCCCCGCGCCGAAGGCAAGACTCTGCCAGCAACGCCCTCCCTGAAACCTGTGAATCTTGTGGCCCTAAACCCTAAACCCTAAACCCTAAACCCTAAACCCTAAACCCTAAGCCCTAAACCCCAAACCCTAAGCCCTAAACCCTAAGGGTGGCCGCACTTGGAGCTCGCAATGCTCCTGAGCCAACTGGGATCCAGTGAGATCAGGGAATGGGGATAGCCTGACAGGTCTGTAGATTTCAGCGGCTGCCATTGATGAAAGCCTTGCTTTGTTTTTGTTCAGTGAAAATCGCAAAGCAAGTCTGTGGATGCTTGATGATTGAGCAGAGCATCGCTGAAATGTTCGAGCAGGAGCCCGAACATCTGCGAAAGCGGCTCAAAGCCCTTGAGGCTCCAGCTTGAAAACCCTACCGCCGTAAGTAGCTAAACCCCTACAACATCCCCCACCACCGAAAACAAACATCTTGAAACTTGAAAACCAAATTGGGGTTTAGGGTTTAGGGTTTAGGGTTTCGGGTTTAGGGTTCCCCAAACTTGTTGTGTATAGCTTTCACAAAGTCGCGGTGTCCTGTGGCTCGAAGTCGAGCTGCTGCGCCCGTTCCAACCAGGCCTGCCAAGTTTAGGGTTTAGGGTTTAGGGTTTAGGGTTTGGGGTTTGGGGTTTAGGGTTTAGGGTTTAGGGCTTAGAGTGAGACAGGGGCAGACGAGACATCATGCTGGCCCTCGGGGGTGCACTCAATAACAATAGGCCTGACCAGTATCAAGGCTGCTGGTCACTTGAATGATGTTTATGAGATCCCGAACCCTCCTCTTCAGTGGACCGCGTTTTTGGAACTTCCGGGCAGCTTCTTCGGTAAGTGACTTCCTTAACCCTACACCCTACTTCCTTAACCCTACACCCTACACCCTACACCCTACACCCTACACCCTACACCCTACACCCTACACCCTACACCCTAAACCCTAAACCCTAAACCCTAAACCCTAAACCTCCATATGGCTACTTATACCTGGCCATCGAACTCTAAGCGTAGCCGGTGAGATTCAAGACCTTGGACTCTACGCGCATACCCAGTCTGGACCTGCAAGAAGGTCTCATCCGGGCGATGGCCCAGCCTGTGGTGGCGCACACACATGAACATGAACTTATTTTAGTGTTTCCCGAAATAGGGGTACCCCATTTGTAGCCGAAATAGAATCCCTATTTTCGGAAACCCCTGTCGGATGCTCTGCTCAACATCGCCCCCAATACACATGCTGACTCGCGGCTGGAATGTGCTTGAACGAGGGCTTCTAGACGGAAGGCAACATAACACCACAGAGGAAAGACATACCCAACACATTCTTTTTGCAGATTAATCCTCCCCCAGAACACCAACTGCAAGCCGCAAAGTCCCAAGAGTCCTTGAGCGCCTCGACCTCCCATTAAAGCAATCCCAAATGAACCATGCATAAGTTCCAAAGGCAACATTTCCGAAAGAAAACTCATCCAGATCCAGGCGGCTTCGCGCATGCAAACAGCAATCGGGTGGCCTCCGGCAAGTCTACTCAGAAGAGGCTGAGTCGTTGGGTTAAGAAATTCGTGCAAGCTGCAACGCTCAGAGTTTAGGGGGGCTATATGCAGTAGATGCCTACACACGTGCATGTGCTGTCGTAGTGTTCTCTAGATGTGTAGCAGGCCCCAGAACACATTGTCAGAAGATGCCCCTGGCCCCCACCCCCGCTCTTCAGAACAAAGACTGAGGGTGTGCCAGACTGGAAACGACTGGGAACCTCGGACGCACGACCAAAAACCATTGTGCCACCCCGACAGGATCATCCAGAACGCAGGTTGAGTTGAAGCATGAATCCCGGGCTGTGCTTTCCAGGGATCATCTCATACCGGGTCTGACTATCACATCTATCACTGCTGTTATCCTGCAGGCTGAAGTTACCCTGGGGGGACTCATCTGGGAGTTTCCGAAATGTAGAGGTACCTTATTGGGGAACCCTACTGTTTGAAACATGTGTGGGTCTACATTCGGGGTGCCTTCTTTTCGTAAACCCTCATATCACGAGAAAGGCTTATGCCGCATGCCAGTTTATGCGCGCGCACACACACAAGCCATGCAGCATCAGCCGGGCCTCATCGACACAACAAAGCAGCTAAACCCTAGACCCTAGACCCTAGACCCTAAACCCTAAACCCTAAACCCTAAACCCTAAACCCTCTTGTGGAAAAACAAAAAGGAAGCTTGGCCTGCGCCGCGTTGGCCTCAGGCAGGGCGGCGGCAGACTGCTCCAGAAGGTCTCGCACCTAACTTCGGGGGTGGGCCGGAGCGGGGCGCGCGTTCGAGAGCTTTGCTTTTGGAGCTTGGGGAAATTTTTCTTTTCCTCATTCTTCGGTAGAAAAATAAGAACTCCAGATCATTAACGTCTGCGACGACCAGAGTCACGAAAGCCACAAGGAAGACAAAACAATGGTCAAGCCAGTAACCCAGAAACTGCCAGCTGCCCGCCGCAATCGGCAAGGCCCTTCATGCCCCGATCTCCCCCCTCCCCGTATCACGCGCTGTTGCAACATCTGAGCAACACCCCCACAACCCACAACACCTGCACAACGCCACCTTCTTAAACAAGACATTTGCGGATCACGCCCCCTTGCACCCCTGATCCCGCGCCCCCGCGCTTGAAGGAGAACACATGTTTTTGCGAGCGGGGTTGATAAGGGTGAACATGTAGCTCTTTGTATGTTGCTCGCATGGCTGTCCTATGTATGGACCAAATGACGAGGAAACGAGTACTAAGCCAAGCAGAATGAAAGCCGGAGACGAAAGCTGCAGAGATGAACGTGACATGATTAGAACCGGCGGGTTGGAGGGAGGCATATCTGCATGGCTGCTTGCGAGGGCGACCTCGCATAACAACAAAACACACACAGATTGCATGCAGAGTGCTGCGCAAAACTTTGTTTCTGTTTTTTTTTTTTGGGGGGGGGGGGGCGGGGGGGGGGGGGGGGGGGGAGGGGGGGGGGGGGGGGGGGGGGGGCGGGGGGGGGGGGGGGGGGGGGGGGGCGGGGGGGGGGGGGGGGGGGGGCGGGGGGGGGGGGGGGGGGGGGCGGGGGGGGGGGGGGGGGGGGCGGGGGGGGGGGGGGGGGGGGGGGGGGGGGGGGGGGGGGGGGGGGGGCGGGGGGGGGGGGGGGGGGGGGGGGGGGGGGCGGGGGGGGGGGGGGGGGGGGGGGGGGCGGGGGCGGCGGGGGGGCGGGGGGGGGGGGGGCCGGGGGGGCGGAAGGGGGGGGGACGGGGGGGGCATTGGAACATACTGGGAAGCACGATAAAGCAAGCAAACGAGACGTTCCTCGGTGGCGGCCTGACGGCCTCAAAAGGTTTGCCGGCCTAAAGACCTCAAAAGGTTTGCCATTTCCCAGAAGCCTCGAAAAATTAAGACAAGCTGGAAAAGAAGCCCATGCAGGAGAAGAAAGGAAGCAAATCATCGAAACAGAAAACGAAAACCACATGTGAGCAAGCTACCAAAACCCATGCATCCACAGACACAAACACATGCGGTAAACAAAGAAAGTTGCACTGGCACGTGGAGAAGAAGATGGGTCGCTCAAACCAACGACCTGTCACCATCTGCTTAACAAGTCTTTCCCCAAAGAGCCCAACACCCCTTACTTCAGGACTATTCCTTAAATCATAATAAGGACCCTTTATAACCTAAGGAATATTGCTTAAATCATAATAAGGATCCCTTTATAACTTCAGCTATATTCCTGAACTAAGGGGTACAGGGGGCTCTCTGGGTCTGTCATCCAGGTTGCAGTCCGCGAATCGGCCTCCTAGACGATTGAGAAAGACAGCCCGAAAATCCCGCAGACCCTAGGGTTTAGGGTTTAGGGTTTCGGGTTTAGGGTTTAGGGTTTAGGGTTCCTAAACCTGAAAACTTCGGGAACCTCTGGGATGTGGCCAATACGTGCATTCCACGGCGCATGGTCATCCCCGGGATGAAAGCCAAATCCTTGTTGTTTAGGGTTTAGGGTTTAGGGTTTAGGGTTTAGGGTTTAGGGTTTAGGGTTTAGGGTTTAGGGTTTAGGGTTTAGGGTTTAGGGTTTAGGGTTTAGGGTTTAGGGTTTAGGGTTTAGGGTTTAGGGGGCGAGCATACTTAAGGACAGATGCATGCAACTTTGATCGAGGGGTTGAGATCCAAGATAGGCATTGGGGCACGACCATGTGCGTGGCACCACCCCTTCGAAAAGTAATCCTGACATTCACCCGTGCCATGGGCCTGAAGAGTCATTACAGACAACCTTTGGAAATAGACAACAAATGAACACGAGTACATCTATTTCAAATAACTCGGTATGTATTTTGTCAGGTGTGTACACATATACAAAAGCAACAAAACCAGAAACATTGCTGCACCTGCTGAAAGCAAAAAAACATATGGGAGCTGATCACTCCAGATACACCCACGCCCCTACAGCTTTACGTTGACTTGAGCAGTGGGCTGGCTTAACATAGTCCGGACCTCAGAGAGCAACCCGGCCCCTCAGGGGTCAGCAAGACGTGTGTTTGTGTGTGTGTGTGTACGCGCGCACGCGGGTGCGGGCGTGCGGGTGAGCGCGGCAGGCGGGAGAAAAACAAGAACCCCGCACAGTGATGTGGGGATTTAGAGCTCCGGCATGCTCCGGTTCTTCATCTGAAGCGAACATTACCTGCACCTAAGCCAAGCATCGTAAGATACAAAGATGCCATCGGATTCGAACCGAACAGTACAAAAATGTCCCCGTCCCTCCAAACGCTTTGAAGGCCCCAAGAGTCCAGGAGCCCCTTAAGATGCCCGGCAAGGGGCGTGCGCAGGCCCAAAGAATGCCAGAGAGGCCTCGGGGGCAAGGGAAGGGCCTTGTGGCTGATCCCTGCCCCCGAATCATCCCCAAAAAAGTTACATTGCAGTATATTCTGGGGGGGGGGGGTATGTACTACTCGGGGATATTCGGGGGGGGGGGGGGGGGGTTGATATGAGGGGGAGGGGATTGGTGTTCGTGCTTGTTCAGGTTGGTTGAGATCTGTCTGGCAGATGCGGGGAGGAGGCCCGAAGGCGAAGAGGCGAGGAGCATGACTGAAAACCGAACAGCCCCTCACCGAGGCTGGGGAAAAAAAAAAACCTCAAGTCCAAACTTTCCAAGAACCACGCCTTGGATGCCGCAGTAGCCAAAGGCCGGCACGGATCCTGGGATGAAACTTCAGAATCCCGGTGTAAAGCAATGCAATCCCTGCACTGTGCATGGACCCACACCTCAACATCCAGACTCATTCGGTATCATTCCCTTCTAGAATTCTAGATGGTTTCTAGAACTGCTAATTGCTTAAGAACCCAGGAAAATGAAAATATTCTTCCTTATTAAGGCTAATATAGGGATTCTTTTGGGGTTCTTAAGCAAACAATAGAGAAGCCCCTCACCATATCACCAATCTCAACAAAGAAAACTCCAGCTCCAGGTGGATTTGGGTGCGGGTGCCGCCGGCCCTCCCGCCCCCAGCAGCCCACAAGCTTCCCAGGTTTGGCGTTGCTTTAGTAGAGTTTACATAGGGTTCAGGGTTTAGGGTTTAGGGTTTAGGGTTTGGGGTTTGGGGTTTAGGGTTCAGGGTCCGGTTCAGTGAGAAACCCTATCTATAGCTGCCACTGGTGACCTATGCTGTGTGGGCCGCGGGTCGGGCAAGCTTGTTCAGCACACGCCGCAGGAAGTGTTCACCTGTCAAACGTACCAGGGAACCCTTCACCACTCAGTGTGGGGTAGCGACCTGACCCCTGGCGTCTAAGGGGGAACGCAAACCCAAAGAGCCCAATACCCCTTAATTCAGGAATATTTTCTTAAATCATAATAAGGATCCCAAAGTAATCTAGGCTATATTCCTTAATTAAGGGGTATTGGGCTCTCTGGGAATAGGAATAGAAGTATGCGCAAGCCAGCAAGTGGAAGTCACCCATTGGTCTGAGAATAGGAGTGTTTTGTTGGGACGTGTCCGGCGTCCAAGTGTAAAGCACCACATCTGCCTCGTCACCCAACCTTAATCAGGACTACTATAGACAAATGTCTCTCTCTCTCTCTCTCTATATATATGTGCAAAAATTGTTTGTGTAGTTTCTTTGTTTGCGTTTTGCACATACTCAGATATAGTCTTCATTGACTTGCTCATTTTCGGTCATATATATATATATATATATATATATATATATATATATATATATATATATATATACATATGTATATGTATATGTATATGTATATGTATATGTATATATATATATATATATATATCGGCGCATGTGTGTGTGTGTGTGTGTGTGTGTGTGTGTGTGTGCGCGTGTGTGCGTGTGTGAGTGTGCGCGTGTGCGCGTGCGCGCGTGCGTGTGCGTGTGTGTGGGTGGGTGGGTGCGTGCGTGTGTGCGTGCTTGCAGGCCCACCGAGAGAGCAAATGCCAAGGCGAGGGCCGATGAAGTGCACTTCGAGTCGGGGCCAGAGCACACGCTCATAGGATGGCCCGTAAAGCCCTCTGGAAAATATTCCCTGAATATGATCCACCTAAACCCAATAAGGGGGAATATTCCTGAATATGATCCTCCTAAACCCAATAAGGGAAAATATAAGAAATATCCCAAGGGCCTACCTAGTCAGTCGGCCCACTTTGACGGGCGCGCGCAGATCATGTTCAACAAGGATCTCCTGTCATTGTGACCTCAAAGCCGGTAAAAACTCCCTGTTTAGGGTTTAGGGTTTAGGGGGTTTAGGGGGTTTAGGGTTTAGGGTTTAGGGTTTAGCGCCTTCCTGACTCTGTACGGCGTGTCTCTGAACCGTCGAAGATCACCTATCTGCCCACCTGGGCTTTCGCCGATGAGGCCGTACGTCCAGAGCATGAAAGAGAGGCCACGTGGCCCTGCGCATGTAATCATCGAGGTTTAGGGTTTAGGGTTTAGGGTTTAGGGTTTAGGGTTTAGGGTTTAGGGTTGGTCGGAAGTATGACTGGGAGTGCATTCCGGGAGACAGAGAGGTTCAATTTGCCTCGGGATTGAAGGCACTGCACATGCGATCATCACATGCAAATCACATGGGCTGCTGGTTCTACTATAGACCACAACAGGATGCTCATTCATTTTCATTCATGCATTCCATTAAGTGAGGCGCCGAGAGGAGCCATGAGGAGCTTCCGAGATCAAGAGCGGACTCAGCAGGACTCTGTGACTCCGCATTGCAGATTTGTGCTGAAACTCCGAGGATACACACGTAGCTTCCTGATGGCCTCTTATTCTCAAATGGAACGAAATATAACGAAATGGAACGACATGGAACGAGGCAGGCGACCCATCAGAAACTTCTCACACCCCTGAAGCCCCGCGACGCCTAGCTCCGTGAGAACAGAATCGCTCTTCTGCGGCAGGGAGTTGAGAAGCGAGGGGCCTTGATTCAAAGGGTGGAGTGGGAGTTCTGCCGAGGGCCGAGGGCATCGCAAAGAAAAGTACGTGGATTTGCTGGGCTGTCACAACTTGGTCGAAACTAAACCCTATACTAAACCCTAAACCCTAAAACCCTAAAACCCTAAAACCCTAAAACCCTAAAACCCGAAAACCCTAAAACCCTAAAACCCTAAAACCCTAAACCCTAAAACCCTAAAACCCAAAACCCAAAACCCAAAACCCAAAACCCAAAACCCAAAACCCTAACCCTAAACCCTAAACCCTAAACCCTAAACCCTAAGCCACCTGGAGTCTAGAACCTTCGCCTCGGCTGCTGATGAGAGGCTGGGCTTGAGATTGAGCTTGTAGCAGGCCCACCTGGGCTGGTGACACAGGTTTTTGTGGATTAGGGTTTAGGGTTTTAGGGTTTAGGGTTCAGGGTTTAGGGTTTAGGGTTTAGGGTTTAGGGTTTAGGGTTTAGGGTTTGTTTCCAGCAGCGATGCACAACATTCAGGACTTTGTCGCTTGGCCGCGTAACGGCCGCAGGGATTGTGCCGTTTAGGGTTAGGTTTGGCATTGAGGGTTGAGGGATGTTGTCTCTCACAGCGCATTTGGAGCTGCCAGGAATTGCCAGTTGAAGGCAGCTGGGTCCTTTTGCTTCTGTCGCTTCTTTTGTACATAACCTGAAACGCCGAACCGATTCTGCTTCGAGCAAGGCTTGTGCGATTGTTGCCAAGCAAGAGTCGCCTGACGGTGAGGGTTCAGGCTGACCCCAGACCCACCTCCCATCTCCTCCCCCCCCTCCCCCTCCCCCATTATCCAGATGCCTCCAAAACATTGACAGAAAAAGCCTCAGACCTGCCAGGACTTCAGGTGGTTGGCCGGTGTACAGTATTCTCGTTCAAACTTTTGCTCCACGTTGCCTGAGCACAGCTGTTCCACTGACGGCCTTGTGGTGGGCCAAGCTCATAGTCACTCGAAAATCAAGCGTTTCTTTACCACAGATAACTGCTCTAAAGTGGGTGGGCTGTCCCACTGTTGCGGCAAAGTTGGGTGGCCGCGTCAAATGACCGCCTGCCCTCCCTAGACCCTGCAAACCCTAGGCCCTGAACCCCGCAACCACACGGAACGGAGACACCACAACCACACCACCAGGGAGTCGGAAATCGATAGGGTTTAGGGTTTAGGGTTCAGGGTTTAAGGTTTCGGGTTTAGGGTTGAAGCAAAATCGGACCCTCATGCATCCTGGACCATCAGGGGAATGTCAGAGGCGAGGGACATCAGGCTCGTCAACTTCGAAGGCTCAAAGCCTGGGACTTGGAGATGTTCTACTATTTGCTTAAGAACCCCTCCCCAAAAAATAGTACTCCATCTGTTACCCTTATAAGGAAGAATAATTTCATTTTTTGGGGGGGTTCTTAAGCAATTGGTAGTGTTCGGTTAGGAGGCTTGCAACTTGACATGCAGTGGCCGGACGCGGACATGTCTGACCCAGTGAACTCATCGCGGGCTCTCGAGATCTGTGCAGGAGGGAACTTTCGAGTTGGGCCTTTTGCTACAGCATCTGAAGCTTCATCACCCAGAGACTCCACAACCCCTTAATTAAGGAATATACCTTAAATTATATTAGGGTCCCTATTATAATTTAAGGTATATGCCTTAATTAAGGGGTTTTGGAGTCTCTGGGCAGCTAGCTACCCTCATGCTCATGCCACCCCAGCCGGCGGACTTGGAAGCTTCACCTCCATTTGCGCCAGGAGCGTTTCAAAGAGATCCTGTTGTGGCAGACAGTCCCTCACAACGTCTCGCAACGTAGGGAGAAGCTCCGCACACCTGAACGCCGGGCCGTTGGAACAAATCTAGACATTCTCAAAGCTGGGTGTGGGGAACGCATATTTCGCTACCACCTCAGCGCAACTTCCAAACCTCATTGCTTTGCCCAGAGAAAGGCATACGGCCAGCAAGTCCTCCTCAGCGCTGAAGCCGAACCTGAGACAACTTTGCGCACGTTCTGGGTCTGCATTTGGCTCTGCCTTGGGCCGTTTGCAAAAACAAACCAAGCTCGACCTCTAGCACTTGTGACACCTCGCTCCTCCACCTTCTCTGAGGTCAAACCATGAAGGCCCCCTGTGCTGCTATTTGCTTAAGAACCCCAAAAGATTTTTTTTTCAGAAACGATAGTCCCTATATTACCCTCAATAAAGAAGACTTTCATATATATGTATGCATATATATATATATAGATATACATATATATCCGCCGACCCCAGCTTTGAGCGGGGGAGGCGCTAGTGAAGACTCCATGGCGTCGGCGTAACCCCGCACCTTAAGCTGATTTTAAAAGGCCCCAGTCCGTGCCCCGCCCTTCCCGCCCCTAACCCTCCCACCACCAACCACCCTTCCCAACCATTCCACTCCATCCTCCTCCCCTACCCCTTCCCCACTCGATCAGATGACTGACTTTAAAGACTGACTTTAAAGGGCTCCAGTCCCCCCAGTCCCCCCCCCCCCCCCCCACCCCTCCCCCCCCCATGACTGACTTTAAAGACTGACTTCAAAGGGCTCCAGTGGACAAGACCCGGAAGTGTATGCACACCACGGTCCAGCATCTACTGGACCCGGTATATAAGTGTTATGTATATGTCTATATGCTTAAGCCACGGTCCGGAGCTTTCACCGAACCCGGAAGTGTATGCACACCACGGTCCAGCATGCACCGGACCCGGTATATTAGTGTTCTGTATAATTATGTATAAACCACGGTCCGGAGCTTTCATCGAACCCGGAAGTGTAGGCACACCACGGTCCAGCATATACCGGACCCGGTATATATAAGTGCATATACCCCCCCCCCCTGCCCCGGTCGCGGATGGCCTCTCAGCACACTACCGACTAAGCCCTCCTAATGCCCTTGAAACCCTGAACGCTCAACCCTAAGCCCTAAACCCTAAGCCCTAAACCCTAGGCCCTAAACCCGAAACCCTAAACCCTAAACCGTAGACCGCTCACTCTCCTCCTGCCTCTGCGAATTCGTCGAAAGATGGCCTGCCATCCTTGTTCTTGTCCGGTTTGCGCGGAGCATCAGGTTGAGGGGTCGGCGGCACTGGCGGTAGCCATTAAATCGGGCAGCGCGAGGTCCCCAAAGGACCGAGCAAATGCGGACCTTTTAGCCCGGGTCGTCCCGGGAATAGCCTTGCTGGCCTCTGGCCTTCTGCGAAGCAGAATTAGGCCGGACGCCAGTGCCGCCGACCCCCGCGTGCCGCCGGTGAACGGTTTTTTTTTCGTGGTTTTTTGCGTCGCCACGGAGGCCCCCAGAGGGCGCGCATCATGAGCATCAGCGGGTCCAGCCCGGGACCCCCAGGCGCGCATCAGGAGCATCAGCGGCTCCCGGGGCGGGACCGCGGGGGGGGCATCAGGAGCATGATGCCCCCCAAAGGGCGGGCATAAGCGACGTGTCTAAGCCCGGGGCTAGGAAAAAGGGAGTTTAGGGGCCTTATAAAGTGCTTAGAAACGTTAAGGGAGTCTCGGAGCCTCAAACGCTTAGAGATTTGAAGGGAGTTAGGGGCCTGAAAATGCTTAGAAACTTAACGCTTAGAGATTTTAAGGGAGTTTAGGGGCCTCAACATGCTTAGAAACTGCTCGCCCCGGGCTTCTGCGTGCGCTGCCCGCCCATGGGCGCAGCCCCTTAAAATATATATAAACAAATACATACATATATATATATATACATACATATATATTTATATTTATTTCCGGGGTTCGTAAGCAAGTAGTAGTGTGTAGCTCACCACGAGTCCAAGGCGAGCAACTGTGCCAGCGCCCAAAACAAGTTGGCCAGGTCAACCTCCAAGTGTCCAAGTGTGGGGTTTAGGGTTTAGGGTTTAGGGTTTAGGGTTTAGGGTTTAGGGTTTAGGGTTTAGGGTTTAGGGTTTAGGGTTTAGGGTTTAGGGTTCCCGTAAAACCCTCTGAAGCATATTCCTGAACATGATCCTCCTAAACCCAATGAGGGAAAATATAAAATACCCCACGGGCCCACCTAGTTGGAAAGCTGCAGGTGGAGAGTTTGAGGCTGCAATGCGGCTGAAAGCACCTCAACCCTGAATCCTTTGACCCACACCTTCGTGTCAAGTAGCAGACCTCACACTAGCCTCACACTCAGATTGTCTGCGGTTTAGGGTTTAGGGTTTAGGGTTTGGGGTTTGGGGTTTAGGGTTTAGGGTTTAGGGTTTAGGGGCGTGCATGCCTAAGGATGCAATGCAACCCTTCACTCGCTAGACCGATGGACTTACTTTCATGCATTGCCGCGAAGCTTCCTCTGAAGGGTTCAGGGTTTCATGCTTTAGGGGCGTGTTTCAAAGAAACCCTAAACCCTAAACCCTAAACCCTAAACCCTAAACCCTAAACCCTAAACCCTAAACCCTAAACCCTAAACCAGCGAGGAAGGCAAATCATGCCACATCCAAGTAGCAGAGTCAAACTTGTAGGCGATCTTGCCCGCCCTTGTCACAGCCTCAGGCTCCGCCAGTGCTGCGCAGGGTTTAGGGTTTAGGGTTTAGGGTTTAGGGTTTAGGGTTTAGGGTTTAGGGTTTAGGGTTTAGGGTTTAGGGTTTGGGGCATCTCTACGTGCATCTCTGCACATGGCTGCGCCGCCCTCCTCACCCTGAACCCTGGACCCTGAACCCTAAAATCTAAACCCTAAACCCTAAACCCTAAACCCTAAACCAGCACGGCTCACAAGTGGAGAAGCCTCTTTGGAGGCTTCAAACCCTGTGAAATCCCTCACCTGAAGCCCGCGACTCTTAGGTGCGCCAAGCAGCGGCCCGCAAGAACTCGTCGCCGGGGTGAAAGTCTAACCTTCACGAACTTCCCAACCCCAGACTCCAAATTGGTTTCAGGGTTGTGGGTTTAGGGTTTAGAGTTTAGGGAGTTGTTCCGGCAGACTGGATGTGGATGTCGGGTTGAGAAAGAAAAGTGCAAAAACAACTGAACCGCGGCAGTTGCGTGTTTTGTGAGGTCTTCCGTCCTCGTCCTGTCTGAGCTAGGCTTCACCGGCAATGCCTAGACCCTGAGGCCTCTGAAAGCTCTTGAAGACAACCCTAAACCCTAAACCCTAAACCCTAAACCCCAAACCCTAAACCCTAAACATCCACGTCGCCTGGCGCAGGCCCAGAGAAAGTTCGCAACATCGCGTGAGGCGAAGTTCTCAAGACGGAGCTCAGCAGCCCGAGCCACGGCCTGCCAAGAAGAGCTGCACGTGTAGGGTTCAGGGTTCAGGGTTCAGGGTTCAGGGTTCAGGGTTCAGGGTTCAGGGTTCAGGGTTCAGGGTTCAGGGTCTAGGGTCTAGGGTTTGGGGTTTGGGGTTACGGGTTACGGGTTTAGGGTTGACGCAAAGTTTACGGACCCAGGGTGGAGAAGGAAGGGTTCAGGCTCAGTCTGCACACGGCTTTCTGGGCTGGTTTTGACAAGCGCCTCCGAAACGGATTCTTTCATGGGCATTCTAGCAAAGGCCTGGAGTTAAGGGGTGTTAGAATGGTCTTAGAGTTCTGCACGGGCTTGCAGAAGTTTTGCATAACATGGTGGCTTTGAGCCCTAACCCTAAACCCTAAACCCTAAACCCTAAACCCTAAACCCTAAACCCTAAACCCTAAACCCTAAACCCTAAACCCTAAACCCTAAACCGCTGTAACGCGATTCTCGAGTCTAAGAGGACTGGGGCGTGACCCGCTCAGCAAAACCGCCGTTGCCATCTAGAGACCTGAAGCCACATCTAACAAAGACACGGGCAAGTTTGAGTTGGATTCTCTTAATGTTTAGGGTTTAGGGTTTAGGGTTTAGGGTTTAGGGTCTGGAGGACCCATGAACCTCGAAACATGATGCGCATGAGGTTAAGAAAGTGCCTTCAGGTAGGCTGGTCCAGGCTGAAATTGGAAGCGCGCGCATGCCCAGACGCTGTTCACCAACTCCTGCACGCAGTGGCAGGACCTACTTCTTGAAGTGCAAAAACCCTTGCGAGATTCCTGGGCGCCACAAAAGAAAGGACCCAACTTCGAAATGACAATACCTACAAGACTTGCCGTGCGGAGTCTATGCTTGGACAGACTCCAATGGAAGTTGCGATTTACGACATGACATCTCCCCTCATAAGTCGTAAGCGCTCTGCAAAAAGCATTGCTAAGACGGTCCCCACATGCTATCGGGACTTATAGAATTATAGAAGTTACAAGGGGGTTTGGAAAAGTTAGAAAAGTTAGCCTGAGAAGTTAGACACAAGTTCAGCAAACTTGGAAAAAGCCAGGCAATAGGAAAGACGCCAAAAAGGGATGAGTGCACTTTGAAAGACATCAGGGAACCCACATGACAGGGCAATTAATTGAAGACGCATAGGGCAAGTTCTGAACGAGTTGAAGAGCCAGGATGAGCGAAGCCAGAATTGTGGGTTGAGGGCTTGGGGTGGTATTAGGGTTTGGAGTTTGGGTTGAGGGTTTGTGGTTTAGGGTTTGGAGTTAGGGTTGCGGAGTTGGGGGGGGGGGAGGGGGGGGGTGGGGGGGTTTTTGGGGTTTCAGTTTTTGGCTTGGGGGGGGGGGGGGGGGGGAGGGGGTTTCGAAGGGTTTAGGAAAATCCCGATTTGGTGAAGGTCCAAAAAGGAAGGTTTTGGAAGGCTTTGGGAAGGTCCCGGTTTGGGTGGACCGAAAGCGGGAATGTTTTGGAAGGCGTTGGGAAGGTCCCAGTTTGGGTGGGTCCAAATCGGGAAGGCTTATTGGAAGTCCTGGGGGCTTGTAGCTGCGGGTTAGGTCCCTTTCGGGAGGCTTCCCCCGCCCCCCCCCCCCCCCCCGGTCTCTTCCCCTCTCCGAACAGGAGACGAATTGGATGTGCTAGCTATCGTTTCCGTGAATACTGACATCCGTCAACAAAGCACCAGGCGAAACCGAAATGACGGACGTAAACCAACGCGAAGTGCTCTCGTTCTTTCAACCAGTGTGTGTTCTGCCTTCATTTTCTATATTTGCTATGGGTACGATCATACACCTACACGTCATCCACAAGCCTTATAAGCCCCCACGGAGCAACGTACAGCGCACCGTTGCGCTTCGAACAAAACGTTGAACGAACACAAAAACTTGGAAAACAAGAAAAACAAAAAAAACAATTGAACAACTTAAGATGTTTTAAGCGGTTACCATACAAGTGAGACTCGACTTCGACAGATGTCAGTGACTTCATGTCTTGGGGGGGTTACAGAACTCACAGCCCGGTCACATCCCGTCATACTTAAGGGGTTTAGGGTTTAGGATTTAGGGTTTAGGATTTAGGGTTTAGGGTTACAACGGGTCTCTAACTTCCATAAGTCCAACTGACATCTAGGGCCCGTCTTTGTAATTCTTAAGCTAACAACAGCCGACCCGAGCCAAAAGGGGGTTGACGGTGTTAGGGGTACCTTTTTTCAGGGAATCCTACTATCCGGGGCTCATTTAAGGGTCACCCCTAAACTCTAAACCCTAAACCCAAAACCCTAAACCCTGAACCCTAAACTCCATATAGAAGTTCGGGAGTGCCCACCCCCCCCCCCCCCCCCCACAAACCTGCGGCTTCGCGCGGCTCAGTTGCGGCATGGAAGCCTCGATCACCTTAGGAACCAGGGCCCAGTCACTACTGTTTGCTTGGGAACCCCGAAAGACTAAAAATAGGTAACAGTCCCCATATTACCCTGAATAAGTCAGGATATTTTTGTTATGTATTCGGGGTTCTTAAGCAATTCGTAGGTCAACTTTGGAACTTCTGCACCTACTCGACAGTCCACAGAGATCCATCAGGCGTAGTTTTCCAGGCTGCGAACGGGTCATGCGCTAATACCCCCGGAGGTTGCACAGGTCTTTTCAGGTTTCAGGATGCTCTGAAAAGGGTTTGCGAATACCGGGTCCTGATTCCCTGTGTGCTTTTTGACGACATCTGTCCACGGCACGACGTTGCAAAACTACCCCCCAATCCTGCTTGGCATGTGTGTTGGTTTAACATGCTGACCAACTGACTGTCTGCTGTGCAGTTCACTCAGACAGTGAGACTCAGCCGTACAGGCAATCTGCCACGCGTTTCACCCCCCGCTCCGTCCTCAATTTGACTGAGTGTCCCCGAGGCATCCCGCGTTACAAGTTGCAACTGTGACGAACTTCAACCACCGTCGTTTAGGGTTTAGGGTTTAGGGTTTAAGGGTTTAGGGTTTAGGGTATAGGGTTTGGGGTTTAGGGCTTAGGGCTTAGGGTTTAGGGTTTTGGTCGGCGGGGTGCATCTTCCCACAATGCATCTTTACAGGCTCTTGTCGGCCCGTAATCACACCACTCTACTAGGGTCAACTTCTCATCAGGGCGGCTCACACACGTGAAGAAGCTTCAAAAATGCCATGAATGTCCCCAACCTTGTTGTCTATACCAAGCAGAGTTTGCGGGGCTTGAGGCTAGAAGGGCTCGAACTGCCCGGCGGATTCCCTGAATTCCGGGCCGCTGAAGCCAGAAACTCGTCCCCGGGGGAGTAGTCCACCCGCGCCAGGGACCAGAGAACAGTGGACAGCGCCTGCGACCTCAGCTTCTTAAGGATAGTGGGTCATGCATGTCACATGATGCTGCGGGGCACATGCGGGGGCTAAGGATTCTATGAGGAATGGCTGTGACCTTGCACCCTCCGCAACAGACCCTGTGTCTAAACCCTTCCCTGCATGGCACAAGGCTTAAAGTGTGGAAAAAGGGAGAAGGAAGTTCGCCAAAGACCACGCAGCATATCCACCTTACACGGACGACGGCCTATACAGTAGCCGCCCGTGTAGCGGAAAGGACATACAAGTGTGCAGATGACATCGCTGTGCATGGGTTCTCGCTGCTGATGTAGGGTTGCTTTTAATGGGTTCCATGTTGCAGTAGTAAACTACTTGTTTGCAGTGACGGCCTGTTTGTCGTCGGCTTTGCCTGATCGTCGTCTGGACATCAACGGCTTTTGCACGGTCCCACAAAGTTGAGTAGTTCTGTAGTTGTCGTGAGTTCAGCTCTGGAACCTAAACCCTAAACCCTAAACCCTAAACAAGCTGAGTCTTTTATACATTGCCGCAGAAGTGAGAGAGCGAACATGGGCTCTAGCTCTTTGAAAGGTGCTGACTAAGACCCTCCTAAATTGTTGGCTGGGCTTTTGGGTATAGGGTTTAGGGTTTAGGGTTGAGGGTTTAGGGTTAAGGGTTTAGGGTTCCTAAATTGTTATAACTGGGCTTTTGGGGTGTTCATTGCACTCCCTGCACTCACTTACAAGTACTTAGTTCGCTGGTTCATGTCATTCAGAATCACACCTTTATTCTTGGCTGCACTCAGGAGGGTAGCTATAAACTAAACCTTTAGCTGCCTTAAACAGAAACCCAATAAACCCAAAAAAGGTAAGGATCTAAAGTTGCAGTAAAGTACCACAAAGCATTTATAGTCGGCGTGCGAACACACACCCAAAGACAAAAATGATATTCTCATATGCGGCCCTTTAGGACTATACTTCTTGGGGAGCATTACGAAAACAACCTGGAGGTGGCTTTGGGCCGTGCCAACCCGGGCAGAATGAGCACGCCAAGACTACAAGCACAAACTTGAAGCTCTTCACCCTGACCTTATCTTGGGGCCTGCATAATTCGAATAGGGCTTTGGGGGGCATTTAGAGTATGATTATAAAGGGACCCTGAGAGAATAATACTCGTAATTCTTCCGACCCCGAACATCAACTTGCCGAGGCTTTGGCCTAAATGTCGAGAGCAGCGCGGAGGTCCGTTGGACGAGCTTCAGGAAAGCTGGGTCGTCGCCTTCGGCAAGCGGGCGAGGGCTTCGTGCGCAAACGGCTCGTTGAAGTGCCGCTGTGTAACTTTTAGCTTTGAACCCTAAACCCTAAACACTAAACCCTAAACCCTAAACCCTAACCCCTAGAGACATCTCTGAGCCCAACATTGCGAACGGAGGGTCTCAAGGAGGCTCGCGAGTCGTTGGCGCCCCTGGCCAGCCACGCGAACGCAGCACTGACATGCTGCCTCAGGGCTGGTGTGTGTGTGTGTGTATATTGATTTTGTTTTGTTTGTGTGTGCGCGCGTGTGTGTGCATGTGCGCGCGCTTGTTTCTCTCTTCTTTGAAGGATTTTCGGCCTCGGGTTAAGTCATACTCGAAGGATCTCAGGGGCCCATGCACATCAAGCTAGGGATGATGTCCCATAGCTACACCAGGCCTCTGCATCAGAACCTTCTCTTTCGAATGTAGAGACAGGAGACGCAGGGTTAGGCGTTTGGCGTGTAGGGATTAGGTCTTCTTACGTCTTCTCTCATGTTTCGGACACGTGTGGCTTTCAGCTTGCATGTTGCCTGTTGAAACCTGCGGGTTTACACGTGAGGGTGCGACTGCTCGTAGGACCCTTCCGTAATTTCGCTAGCAAGTGTCAGGAGATCGGGCTTCTGGACCAGAAAACACTTGGAGGTTCATGGTACTTATTAACCAGTTATCACTGCACTTATAACCCACTGATAAGCCCCTTAAGTGCCCTAATATGGTTACAAGTAGAGTTATAAGTACAGTTCTAACTGGTTCATAAGTACCATGAACCTCCAACCACAGTACACGTCATTTTGTCTCCCAGTCTGGATAACGCCCGCCGATAAAAATGATCGCATAACAGTCGGGGACAAGGGATGTTGTTCTTTCGGGCGAGGGCTGTTAGGGTTGTAAAGCCACCGTCCCCGAAACCCTAAACCCTAAACCCTAAACCCTAAACCCTAAACCCTAAACCCTAAACCCTACAAACCCTAATTAAACCCTAAACGCCATGAGGCCAAAGTTAAACGCTGCGGATGTAGGATGCATCGCTGTTCAGCCACAGGGCCGGCAGCCGTTCACGAGGGGAGGATTTCCTATACTCTCCCTAATCCCTAAACCCTAAACCCTAAACCCTAAACCCTAAACCCTAAACCCTAAACCCTAAACCCTAAACCTTATACCCTCATTAAGCCATTGACCAAAACAGAACAGGCTGGTTCTTAGTAGGGAATGAGGGCATTAGGGTTCTATGCCATCCCTTAAAGGGTTTTTAGGGCTTCAATTTTCCCTCATTTCCTACTTGAAGGGTACATATAGGGCCCCAATTCCCTCATTCCTTACTAAGCACCAGGGGAGAAGGCATACTCTGGTCTGATATCGAAGGCCTAGGGCTCGGGGTTATCACTAGCTCGACCCTGCTTATGCTTCAGACGTGACAGCTTTTGGGCTTTAAGGGATTGGGAGCCTTCGATAATCTTTCAAGGTTTATAGTTAAGAGGTGCTATGAGGCATGAGCTTTAGGGCGATGAGGATCCACAATGTGCCAGCACTGTGCTAGCTGCTGAGAAGCAGAGCCCAAAGAAGGCTAAACCCCGAGCTTCGCACTCCTTTGGCCATGGGCTCTAGGCGATCAAGGGAGAATAGAACTCCCTGTGCCTGTGCCCCAAGACGGGTCGAAAGAGACCACCAATGTACTGGTTAAAAGAGAAGATGGTGGTTTTCGAAATTAGGGCTACCTTATTCGGGTCCTTATGATATAGGCCCCGATTTTCCTAAACCCCCATGTGGGCCAACTACACCTTTCTTCGACCAGCTCGGGCCCCCTTCTAACTTGGATCGGAAAATCCAAAGAAAAGAGCTGCGCAATGAGATGTGAGCCCACAAGCTTCTGGCCATTCAATGATCTAGATGACGCATGCTATCAGTCTGTCGCTCTAGGGCTCTGCGTCCTGCTGCCAGGGCAGGCAAGGACTTCGGCAAGGACTTGGTGTGGATGGCTTCATGAACTCAACTCGAGCAAGCCTCCTCTGGCGGCTGGGGTGATCTGCACAGTAAGGTTTTGGTTCTGCCTAAACCCTAAACCCTAAACCCTAAACCCTAAACCCTAACATCCTCATCACTGCTAAACCTCGACGCCTCAGATGGACTCTAACGCCCCGAACTCCTCTCACGACCAAGCCCCTATAGACTCTGTATAATACTGTACAGGATGTTGCAAGCCACATGATAAGACTCGTGGTAGTATAAGATTCGTGCAGGGCTTAAGGATTTGAAGCTAAGAGTTGCGCGATCGCAAGGCCTGCTCAAAGATACTCCTTGCGTCGCTGTGCCGTAGGATACTCTTGCCTGTGCGGTGTCGGTTGTGTTCTGAAAGCTCCAGCACAAAGCCTGCGCGGAAAGCTCATACATTGAGGTCCACTGTAAACCCAAAACTTCTGCCTGACTGGGAGCGCCCGCAGCATTGAGCTAGATCGAAAGGCATGGATATGTTGGGATGTTCCCCTTTTATACTAGCAGTCCTTAATAAGGATATTCGGGGGCACTATAATCTCTACAAAGGACTGTTCGTATAAGGGATGCACATGGCCAGTTCCCAAAGAGCCCAATACCCCTTAATTAAGGAATACTCCTTAAATCATCATAAGGATGCCCTGTATAGTTTGAGCTATATTTCTTAATGAAGGGGTATTGGGCTCACTGGCTAGGCTGCCCAGTAACCAAGGCTTAAAAAGGGTGCCCTTTTTTTGCTTAAAGGGGTTTATAAGGGAACCTAAACCCCCCAAAAAGGGAATAAGGGTACTACTGGGCATCCTAGCTGGGTTCTTGACGATGTTATCTTGGGGTTCTTCCTACTTGGAGGGAAGAAAAGCCGCCAAGCAGCGAAGGGGAGGCCGCCCCTAAGAGCAGTATCCTAAACCCTCTGAGAGCTTACAAGAAGTCTTGGGAAGTCATAGGGTTTAGGGGGTTTAGGGTTTAGGGTTTAGGGTTTAGGGTTTAGGGTTTAGGGTTTAGGGTTTAGGGTTTAGGGCTTGCAAGAAGTCGTGCGTGTTTATAGGTAGCTACCTGAGCCCCTCAAATTCGAGCGCGGCAAACCCTAAGAGGATGGCGACACAGGATAGGGAAACGGGTTATGCGAAGCAACGGAATTGCACTGAATGCTTAAAAAAAGACAGCAAAAATGACAACACCCTAAACCCTAAACCCCAAACCCTAAGTAGGAGATGAAGTTGACTGTCAAGGTCAGAAAGAGGCGGGGGCAGAATTTTGGACCCAGCGTTGGTGCGGTTTCCTTTAGGGTTTAGGGTTTCAGGGTGAACCTTGGGATGTTCCCCCTTATACTAGCAGTCCTTAATCGGGATGATGGGACCCCCTCTTGAAATCCCTTCATTCAGGACTGTTAGTATCAGGAGAACCAATTTTGATGGCTTTGACTTGAAAGGTTTTGGGGTTGCAGTGCCCCCCAAGGCTCGAAAGAGCTCAGCCCTCTTTGCAAATGTTCAGCTGCACGCGCTGCCGATTCAACAATTCACCTTGGCCCATTGAGGACTGAAGGTTCTTAGCCGTAGCTTCGGGCACTTCTTATAGAGATTCAGGATGCTTGGTGGGGATTCAGGATGCTTGGTGGCTTGCTTTTGTCTTGTGCTTCGTTTATTCAACATCACAGAGCAAGTCGCCGTGGGGCCTGCGTTTCTGCACACGAGTACTTTCAGAATGTTCTGGCTCATTATGGGGTTCCTGGTGTTGCAGTATAGCACCTTAACCCGAGACCATGGTTCGAATCCCTATACTAAACGCAGCTAAACTACTACGTCCGGGTTTACGAAAACAGGGGGCCCCTAAAATAGACCCCAAATAGTAGGATTCCCTTATAATGAGGACGCGATAAGGTGCCCCTAACTTCGGAGACCCCCAACAGGCAACCCAAGCCTTATTCCTCAACTCGCTTCCCTGAACCCTAAACCCTAAACCCTAAACCCTAGAGGAGGTCGAAGGGAGGGAGTGGCGGACTCTTGGCAGGTCCCCTCCGTCCCCGTCCTCGAACCTCCCAAGTGCCCCAAGCAAACTCAGAACCCTAAACCCTAAAGCCTAAACCCTAAACCCTAAACCCTGAACCCTAAACCCCAAACCCTAAACCCCAAACCCTAAACTAAACAACTTTGGATCACTCGCGATCACTTCGAGGCCTAGGTGCTGGCTCGCCTCATCTCCTCCGACAGTTCGCCAACATCCAGACTCTCCTGGGGTTTTTGGGTTTTTTTAAAGGGCTTTTTAGGGGTTTTCTAGAGCTTTTATAGAGCTTTTTAGGGATTTTGTAGACGCTGCTTAGGGGGTTTTGTAGAACTTTTTCGGGGTTTTGTAGCGTTGTTTAGGGTTTTTTAGGTGTTTGGGGGTTTTAGGGGTTATAACGTATAGGGTTTAGGGTTTTGGGTAGCGCAAGGGCATCAATCAGGGCTTAAGCAACCACGTTGGCTGAAGCAGCAATCATCAAACACAAGCTTCATGTTCCCCACCCCGGGTTGGAGGCTAGTACTGCGCTTTCCTCTTGTCTAGCTGTCCTCCACATCGGTGCAGTTGCAGCAACTCGGTCGTGGCAACGTGAATGCTTTCCGGACAACCCCATAGCCAGGTGATGCTCAAAGTGCTCGCTTGGTGGTGGCCATTTCCGGAGTAATTCAAGCCTAGCCATGAGCATCAGTGCCCAAGCTTTGTCCTAGCAGTCCTAGCACGGGCCACCAAGCGAGCTTCATGAGCAGCAGCTGAATCGCTTTAGCCGGACCACCAAGCGAGCATCACGAGCATCCGCCGCCCGGGCTTCGCCACCGAGCGAGCATCACCGAACGAGCACCACAGGCCACCAAGCGAGCATCATGCGCATGAGTTGCCTTTGCACGAACCATCATTCGAGCTTCATGGGCATCAGCTGCTCGCCTTTGAGCCAGCACGGGCCACCAAGTGAGAATCACGAACAGCCACCGCGCAAGCTTTGCCCTACACAGACCGCCAAGCGAGAATCATGATCCTGAGCTGCATATGTTGTATCCCGGCCATGGTTCATCAACGGCACCATGCGCATCAGCTACACGGGCGCAGCCCTCCCAGCCACCCATCAAGCATCAGCCGTTTTAGCGAGCGCCACCAAGCGAGCATCATGAGCATCAGCTGCCCAGGCTTCACCCTAATGAGGGCCACGCCGAGCATCAGAAGAGCCATGAAAGCATTGGCTGTGCCCACAAGTTGGTGTCATTACGATGACGACAGCAGGCTCGCTTTCGGAGAAAGGGGGGGGGGGGGGTAGGGGGGGGTAGGGGCGGGGTGGGGGGGGGGGCGGGTAGGCGGGAAGGGGTCAGGGGGGGTGGGGGGGTAGGGGGGGGGGGGAAGAAAGGTCCCCTTGCTGCTCTTGGCCAGGTCGCTGTCATCGTGTCGACGCACCGGCGCAGGTCGCTCCAAAAGTTAATGGCGAGCCTTCAAAAAGGGTTTGAGAGTTTCGGATTGTGATTGTGAGTGCAGGGATGTTTCATTGAAGCTTGAACCCTAAACGCCCCTACAGAAAAGCCATAAGTCCTGAAAAGGACTGCGAGTCTAAGGTGTTGAATGTCGGCATATATTTGTTTCGTGTTCTAGCGGCGGCATGCGCTCCCCGTGTCTAACAGACACCGGTGGTGGCCCAAAAGCCGTGGGATAGGGTCTCCCTGGGCAGAATGTGGAAACTTCGCCAGAGAGTTCAACAAACCCCCTCGCAGGGTTGGACACGCTCGGCAAGCAAGGCTTGACCAAAGTCACTTGCAGTGCCAGGAGTGGCACTTTCGAAGTATATGATGACGCAGATGACTATACAGCTCGTACACTCCACGCGCTGCCAGGAATCACCCCCCCCACAAACTTCTCCTGTAAAATTACTGTAAACCGGAGAGGCCCGAGACCAAACCCTAAACCCTAAACCCAAAACCCTAAACCCTAAACCCTAAACCCTAATACCCTATACCCTAAACCCTAAACCCTAAACCCTAAACCCTAAACCCTAAACCCTAAACCCTAAACCCTAAACCCTAAACCCTAAACCCGACCTCAGGTCTTCGATGGGCTGCACGCAGCATGGGAAGCGCTTGCCCACGTCGCTGCGGAATTGCTCCGCGGATCCCGTGTATTCCTGTTCTGGTTTGGGATGTTCCCCTCACGTTTAGGGTTTAGGGTTTAGGGTTTAGGGTTTAGGGTTTAGGGTTTAGGGTTGAGGGTTGAGGGTTGAGGGTTGAGGGTTGAGGCTTTAGGGTTGAGGGTTGAGGGTTTAGGGTATAGGGTTTAGGAATTAGGGTTTTAGGGTTTGGGGTTTAGGGTTTAGGGTTTAGGGTCCTTAATAGGGAGTATAGTAGGGGTACTATAATCCCCTTAAGTACTGCTAGCATTAAGGGGGAACATCCCAACTGTTCTGGACTCTGGGGTCACGTGGTCGGGTCACGTGGTCGTACTGCGCTGATGCAATGCTGGTGTTCGTCCTAAGGAGCGTGTGTGGCCGACCTCACATCACATGATCTTCCAATCGCTCAAAGGACGGGATAGCATACGTCCATACACATCGAAGCCGATCTTTAAAAACAACTGTGGGCAAGTATACTTCAAGCCTATGGCACGCAGGAATCCAAACAGAAGGTACGCGGATTGACCACCAAAGCCATGACCTACTCAAAGCAAGAAGCCCAGACTGTTGCCCAATTCAAAAGCCCAACTCACAGCTCCCTTCACACCATGCATTCTGGGTCTCCAGGAAGTACTTCACCTCGAGGCGGGTGCGTAGGATTAAGATGATGTAGGACCAGTTTGAGTCCCGGGTCGTAAACTTCATAGCGCCCCCCCCCTCCCCCAAAAAATGACTAAAGACTTGCCGCTCCCTGTCTGTTTCAGACGGGACCCGCCAGCTTAAACTACGGTCCTGCGACGGGCCTGCAGGGGTCAGCCACTACTGCGGATTCTTCAATATTGAATATTGAGCAAGCTAAAACGTGAACCCTAAAAAACATCCCGAAACTATGCTAGTACCCTGTCCCTGTCTCCCTCTCTCTCTCTGTCTGGCACTGTCTCACTCACTCTCTCTGTTTCTCTGTCTATTTGTCTCTCTATCTCTCTGCCCTGTATCTCTGTCTCTCTGTCTCTCTCTAGCACTCTCTCTCTCTCTCTCTCTCTCTCTCTCTCTCGCCACATGCTAGGCCCCTGTAGGCCCCCCCGAAAGGGAGCCGCCCGGCAGCGCGCGAGAGTCCCATGCATCTCTCCGTCCCTCTCCGGCCCCCTCCGTGTTTCCTCCGTGTCTCCGTGTCCCTCCGTGTCTCCTCTCTCTCCCTTAACCAGTTGGGGCACTACGATGCCCATGCACGCCCGCGGCAGCATGAACGTCGGCATTTCTGCCGGTGTGTTCGGATAGTGCTCCTGTAGGAGGCGCAGGCTTCGCTTGGGATGATGCCCGGGTTGCTTCGAGTCGGATTCGATGTTGCCCTTCCCCTCTTCTGGATTCCTACATGCTGGGTGCAAAACCCCTTCCCTGCAGCTATCTGCTTGCTTGCCCCATGGTGCTGGGCCCTATAGTTGCGTTTTTGGAGCATCTTCAACACACACACACACACACGCTCTGCGGAGGGAAAGGTCAGACGAGTCAAGCCTAACAAACAAAAACCCCTCAGAGAACAGCCAGAAGCCGTGATTCGCGCTACAGCGCGGGCTACGGCCCACTGACCTAACAGCTGAACGCTACGCATGGAGAGCCATACAGCGCCAGCACAAGGCACGCCTGCCGCTTCGCAAACGTGACAGTCTATACAAACATTCTGCAATGGTCACTTAGCACTTCCACTGGCATCATCCAGAAACCTTTGAAGCTGGCGTTCGAGATCCCCTGCCGGTGCCACCCCCGGCAACTCCCGCACTCCCTGATCTCGGCGAAGATCTGCTTTGATGATGGCCCACACTTTGTCTGACGGGCTGTTTTCCATCAGATTGATCTCCAACCGCTTGAGCTCTGGTCTGAAGTTTTTTTGGACGCGCGCGTACTTCACTTCGTGGTGGATGGCCTTCCACCCCTGTTCCTGGTACTTGCTGGCATACTCCAACAGGACCGCGAGGGACTCTTGGTGGGAGGGATCTTGCTCTTTCGCACGTTGCTCCAAGTTGCGTGTTGCGACCGCCAACAGAGCGTTCCAGACATGGATGTGAGGAAGGCCGAGGCGCTCCTCTTTGTCCTTTGGACTCATTTCCTTGGCTGCCTCCGCATACTTTTTGGTGGCTTGCATGGCCTCCTGGATGTACGGGTTGGCTGCAGGAACTTGGTGCACTTCCAAGAGGATGCTGCGAAGAGCCCTGATTTGCATTGCGTTTGACAATGACAACTTTGCCAGTGTTGACAGCAGCTTTTTTGTCTCCGCATCCTCCATGCCCTGTCGCGCGACTGCACGAACCTTGGACGGCCGCTCGCCCTGATTTTGCTCTAGGCCGAGGTTCATTGCTAACTTCGATGTGGGGGGGGAAGGTGAGCCCAGAAGTGTCAAGAAGTTCTATGGAATGCTGAAGATCCGGAAAATGACTGCGAACATGCCAATGATAAGCATAATGGTCAGCGAAGGCGGAGTCACATAGGGGGCAAATCACATCATAACACGGTGTGACCTCAACCGGCAAAAAAGCACTATCAGCAATGCAACGGCCATGAAACAGAGCTCTTCTGAAATGATTTTTTGCAGAAGCGATACTGCTGAACGCCGATGAGCAGAAAGGACACTGGTTGGTGACCACAAGGGTAGCTGCATGTACCTCGGTGCCATGTTCTCCATCCTGCGCAAACCTTTGATGCGCAAACAAAGCCTTTTGCGTCTGGAATCTTTGGCCACATATACTGCCGTCCACACGGAGTAATTCACACACATGCCCATCTGCAAACTCGGTACGTGTAGCAGCGGGACTCTGAGTTGTGCCGTCGGTGAAGCCAGGCGGCGGGATTTGAACAGATATGGACTTTGCCCTAAGCTCCGAAACATCTACAGCGCAAAATGCTTCACGAAGCACAGCGTCATGCAGTAGGTGTGCAGGGTTGTCTTTGACACTGTTAGATATCCATGCAGCCTCCTCGATCTGCGAGAGGTCACTGAGATCACTCCGTAGTTGTACAAGCCACGGATGGTCCGAAAGTGTTTTCTCGAAAGGGAACTGACCAAACATCGCAGCAAACATTTGATGATGCTCGCGGGGTTTCGCAAGCATGGTTTGAAGCCATCGAAGCCGTGCGACTACAAGCTCGATGCCAACTGGAGCCACGCGAGCCCGAACGTGAACCTGTTGATTGGTTAGTGAACGGTATCTGGTGTTTCCATCCTCTAGCTGCTGTTTAGAACAAGCTTGTCCTTGGAGAAGTTTGCGAAGCAACCCCACCAGGAAAGAGTCCATCTTGTTGATGAAGTGGTCGTTGACGTACCAAGCCACCAATCCCGATAAGAGAGTTTGAACCACCACGCATCGGAAAACCAACAATTTGAAACGCATATCAATCCGCTTGAACCAGAACCCACGAAAATCGTACCATGCACGTCTAGCAGCGTCAATGCGTCGTTGACATTCAGGAGCAAAAGAACAGTCCCAATGCAAATATGGCCCCAGGTAGCGAGCTTCTTTTTTGCAGCCTGGCACCAGTTGACCATAGAGAAAAGCTTCACGAGTAAGCTTGTGAGCTCCTGGGCCTCGAAGGTTAAGCAAGGCTTCAGCTTTGGATATATTCTGAACCATTGAAAGCCGATCTAGCGCACCATCCAAGCGGGCAGCAGAGTCTTCTACTTTTTGGAATAGAGCACTTGGTTTGTTGTCTGCGACCCGAGACGCGAGATCGTCAACGAAAACGGTAGTGGCCACCGAGATCGCCGTCGGGCAATGCTCCATGTTGGTGGTGAGAAGCTCATTGTGCGGCATCAGCTGGTCTTCGAATTGGCGGATTGCGCCCCAGTACACCAAGTTGAAACACTCAGTGGCGATTGTGCTTCCCTGCGGAATGCCAGAACCAGGCTGCAATAAGACTGACCCATCACATGCTTGGAGTTCACACCGGTGGTTGACGATGTGCTGTAAAAGAATTGATACATCCTGAGAGGGAGGCAGTTGTTGGAAAATGCTTCGAATGTTAGAATGCGCAGGTGAGGGGAAAGCATTCTTCACGTCGTAGAGCTTGAGCGCGGATGAAACCCCACTTGTGCGAAGTCGAAACGCCATGATGTTTTGCACTGCAATAGCCTCTTCTCTGCGCTTGCCCACAACACCACCATATGCAAAGGCAGGGGGAGAGGGAAGGTGCGGCACTACTGATCTGCGCCACAGCATTCTGTAGTACTGCTTGGCCAGTGCCCCAAAAGCATGTACAATGCGTACATCACTGCATAGGTTATCTTCCCCTACGTGCGGCTTGCAAGCTTTATGCACACAATGACCAGCACTGAGCTGGAATTGACACGGCGCATGTCCTGCAGAACGTATACTCGCCAGAAGTTGTTTTAGCCAGCGTTGAGCAGTGAAGGGAGTTGGAAAAGACCGCTCGTGACCCACTCCAAATCTCTGCTGATCTCTCACCTCCTGTGGAAATATGACCAGCCGCCAGATTTCCAATGGGATTTCACCATCAGGAACACTCTTTCGGAACGCACCAAGTTTGACACAGCGCGAAAGATCTCTGTAGTCACGGACAGCATGTTCGCGATGTGTTCGCGTGACCAGGCAGTGTGCCATATCAATACCTTGGCGGGGTAAACGCTGACTGACAGCTGTTGCGCTCCACCCACCCTGACGCGCATCTTGCGCGAGGTGTTTCTGCCATTGTTGGGTTGATGGCATAGCAGTGAGAGGCATGCGGCCCCACTTCCTGCGAGACCCCTTGTGGACTCCCGCTATGCGCCTGCACAGCTTCCAGGCCTCCGCCAACCTTCGTTTCCTCCACGCCGTTTGCAACTCAAGCCGAAGATGCTCCCGACGAACATTGAGGGCTTGACGACACGCCAGCTTTGCCTCCTGAGTGGCTTTGTCAAGGCGAATTTGGGCTTTCCAGGCCGAGAAAATCGGACCCATAGCCTTCAGAGGCAATTGTAAGTTGCAAGCACTTGCAAGATTACAATGCTTGTATGCCAGAACAGCATCGTATAGCACACCAGCATAAAAATTGCATGAACCACCACGCACAGTACGTCTTTGAACAAGAGCTGTTCGCCGCAAATCACGACAGCGAGCAACATCAGGATGAACAATCGCAGCCTCTTGAAAAACCTGTGAAGCGGCGCGGTGAAGGGTACTACGAAGAACATCGTAAATATCAGTAGGGTTGTTACGCTGCACAGCCTCTTGCCAACGGTCCCAGTTGCTTGTACACTGTTGTTGTACCGCCTCCACGAAGCTGTCACGAGAATCACCTGCAGTGATACATCTGACAATTGCATCGCGATCCAAATTGACTTGGTCATGCGCTTCGTATTGCAGATTTCTAGTGTGCAACCAGACCCCCAGTGGCCGGTGATCAACCCGCTTCACACAGTTGACGAGTTGTAGCCGATCACCTTTGTGAAGAAGGACATGCGGGTTCTGCGCCAACCGTGAGCTCCACCAGCCTTGTGGGACACATATGTAGTCGATGCGAGAAGTTGTGCGAAACGTGCCAGAATAGAATGTTGGACCAGCACTAACCATTGTATTGCACGCCACAAGGTGGTATTGCTCCAGAAACTGTTGAAAAATTGGCCCATTGCCGTTTTCTGTTTCAGCATCACACGAACCGATGCTCTCTGATGTGAGGTGGCCTCCTCCACGCTGGGCGCCAACACGCGCGTTGGCGTCCAGACAAAGCACTGGGGTGGTCCGAGCAGGGAGCTTGTTGAGAACATGGGAAAGCCATCTAAAAAGCTTCTGCGTAATCACAAGAGCTCGTTCAGTGTGTGTCGCCGGTGGAACATATGCACTGATGTATGTGATATCGCTGCATGGTCGACGTGACCTGACAGCTAAACCACGACCAGAAAGGCAGGGATCTGTTGGCCAAGCCACCTGGGTGAGGTGTTTGCGATGATGCCTAGATGCATCAAAAGAAATGGCAACACCAGCATGCTTGTTGGAGCGGGGCCCGTATCCAGCCTCAAAGAAATGTCTCCCATCAGCCTTCATGTAATTTACAGGCTGTGACCCAGCCATTGTCCGCGTGCCTTGAAGGCATATAACGGAAGCACAGCGAAGTTCAGCATGAATGTCTGCAAGTCTGCCAGATTGTTTCAAGGACATACAGTTGTATGAAACGCAAAGCTCACGCATAGCTGCAAGTCCACAGGCGCCTGCAGCGCGACAAAAGGCTGCCACCATCGTGACACTTTTCCTAATGCTACGTTATCGGGGGGGTTTGAGCATAGTAGCTGGAGCATCTTCAAGACGTAGCCTTGCAGCCTTGCACTCCTGAAACTTGTACACATTGCCCATGAGATGCTAGCAGTGGTAAAGGCTTCTTGAAGCGCAGAAAGACAGGGTAATTATGGGTCGATGTAGAGTATGGAAGGGGGGTTAAGGATGATAAGGATCTGCTCAGCTGAGGATGCGCAAGAATCCGCTGATCGGCAATAGGACCCACAGCCGACAAAAACCCGTGCTTTGATACTTTATCGGCAGGGTTTGTCACCACAGCTTCTGGACCACGCAGGCCTTCTTCAAAACACCAGGAACAGCCAAGCCTAAGCCAGAATAAGCCCTCAGACCCCAAACCCCAACTGATTCCTCTACCAAACCTGAGCTGAGAAGTGGGAACCGTTGGGTCCTTGCTAGGGGTGGCGCACATGAAGCCCTTGGGAAGGAGCTTGACCTTGGAAAGGTCCTGGAGCACTGCTTTGAGGTAAGACGGCTTTTGGCTGAAGATCGGTATTCTTAAAAATTGTAGCTCCGGAGTTCGAGACTTTGGCCGTGTGGAGCTAAAAGGGCAACAGGATCATTGCCCACGCCGGAACGGGGGATGCATGATACCGTACCTGCAAGGGATCTAAACCCTAAACCCTAAACCCCAAACCCTAAACCCTAAACCCCAAACCCTAAACCCTAAACCCTAAATCTTTGGCATGATGATGGCCTTCACACCATGGACCGTGCCCGAAGTTCCAAGCCAAGCGAAAGCGACTCATCTTACTTCTCCAACAACCAAGGGGAAAAAAGGTCAAACTTTACTATTCCTACTGAATAAAAAAACCCAAAAAAGTTTAAAGTTCAACTATTGGCTAAGTAAGTCATGCGTCCTGACTACACTCTGTGGGGTCCCCACCCTTAATCGTCAGAACCAGGAGAAGCTATTTTCAAGGCAGATGGCCGACATGCCTTGTCACACAACCCTAAACCCTAAACCCTAAACCCTAAACCCTAAACCCTAAACCCTAAACCCTAAACCCTAAACCCTAAACCCTAAACCCTAAACCCTAAACCCTAAACCCTTAAACCTAAACCCTAAACCCTAAACCCTAAACCCTAAACCCTAAACCCTAAACCCTAAACCCTAAACCCTAAACCCTAAACCCTAAACCCTAAACCCTTCCCTCCCGGTCCTTCAGCAGAACCGAAGCCAGAGCTCCTTCGACGAGCTGCCTTTGGGCTTCATGTCGGCTTCAGGGTCGTTCCTGATTCCTGTCTTTTTCAGTCTGTTCCTTTGACCGATGGGTTTAGGGTTTAGGGTTTAGGGTTTAGGGTTTAGGGTTTAGGGTTTAGGGTTTAGGGCTTAGGGTTTTAGGGTCTTTTTCAGTCGATTCCTTTGACCAATGGGTTTAGGGTTTAGGGTTTAGGGCTTGGGGTTTTAGGGTCTTTTTCAGTCGATTCCTTTGACCAATGGGTTTAGGGTTTAGGGTTTATAGGCTATAGGGTTTCGGGCTTGGGGTTTAGGGTTTAGGGCTTAGGGCTTAGGGTTTAGGAATCCACCAGAACGCCTAGATGCGGCACATCTCCACTCGAACTGGACCGGCGATCACCGGCCACCATCACAAACCCTGACAACATGGGCCAAGTGACATTCGAACCTGCATCACAAGCTTGCGGAACTAGCCCTAAGTAACTAGAACTACGGCAGCCCCAGTGTCCATCGAAGTAAACCTGTTTAGGGTTTAGGGTTTAGGGTTTAGGGTTTAGGGTTTAGGGTTTAGGGATTAGAGTTTAGGGTTTAGGGTTTAGGGCACTGGCAAGTCTGGGGCTCACCAGAACTTGTTTGCGCCAGAAGGTCTCAAGATTGCCAAATAAAAGCAACGAGTTGATTTTCCCTAAACCCTAAACCCTAAATCCTAAACCCTAAACCCCAAACCCTAAACTCTAAACCCTAAACCCTAAACCCCGGGCTGGGAAGCACGCCTCAGCGTCCGCTTCAACGCTCGCACAAGGGCCTCTGCTGTTCCAACTTGCAGGTTTCTGGATTTCGGACCCTAAACCCTACCCTAAACCCTCAACCCTAAACCCTAAACATTCAAGGCTCTCAAATCTAAGTTTAAACCCGGGCCCTCCTGGATCCTGAAGACCTATCTCCTGAGGGGGGCTTGAGTCTTTGAACTTAAGAAGGGTTTAGGGTTTAGGGTTTAGGGTTTAGGGTTTAGGGTTTAGGGTTTAGGGTTTAGGGTTTAGGGTTTAGGGTTTAGGGTTTAGGGTTTAGGGAGTGTCCATCCTGCAAGGGCAGGTTTGTTCTGGCATTTTGGGCTTCTTTATTACGTTTCTCGGGGTTTCGGGTTGAAGGCTTGCGTTTGCATGAGCGGCTTGTCTGTGGGGAAAATAGTTCCCTTTGCTGATTAGGCTTTTGGGGTTTAGGGTTTAGGGTTTAGGGTTTAGGGTTTAGGGTTCAGGGTCTACCCCAAATTCGACAGCGACGTTGACAACCCTAGGCCGACATGGGTGCTTGGCCTTGGCTATGTGTTTGAGCTGCATACACGGACTGCAATCTCATTCCCGCTCATGACGCTGAGCCTTGAAACTCAAATCTTGATTCGCCTCCAGCTGGAATTCCCGAAGTCTACACATCAAGCGCCAGGTCACGTGGAAAGCAGCAAGGTCGAAATCCACGTCAGAGTCCCACATCACCTCAGGCACGACTACGGTGTCGATCGCAACTCAGTTGAGCGGCTGCTTCGGGCCCCGCACGTTAGGGTTTAGGGTTTAGGGTTTAGGGTTTAGGGTTTAGGGTTTAGGGTTTAGGGTTTAGGGTTTAGGGTTTAGGGTTTAGGGTTTAGGGTTTAGGGTTTAGGGTCATGCGGACACACCTGGTGTTCTTGTGTCCAAGCCAGATGAGGACCACCAAGACACAGAAGTGTCAACAACAAGCCTGATGCCCACACCCACCGTCAAGCTCGGTTCGACCTTTCCACCCTTTTGTTCCTGGAACCACTTCGGAATAGAAGAATTCCACTCCAGCATCCAGCAAAAGCAGAAGAACTTTGGACCACAACAACCATCATGGGCTATTGTACCCTATAAACCCTTACCTGAAAAGGCCCTTTTCCTAAACCCTAAACCCTAAACCCTAAACCCTAAACCCTAAACCCTAAACCCTAAGGGATTCTAGGGCCTAATAGCCCATCCTGGAAGAACGGGCAGCCCCGAGAGCCAGGTCACATTTCTTAGACGCATTGGGACCAGGGACATCCTTGGAGCCGAGGCTTTAGGGTTTAGGGTTTAGGGTTGAGGGTTGAGGGTTTAGGGTTTAGGGTTTAGGGCTTAGGGTTTAGGGTTAGTTTAGGGTTTAGGGTTTAGGGTTTAGGGTTTAGGGTTTAGGGTTTAGGGTTTAGGGTTTAGGGTTTAGGGTTTAGGGTTTAGGGCTTAGGGCTAAGGGCTTAGGGCTTAGGGCTTAGGGCTTAGGGTTTAGGGTTTAGGGTTTAGGGTTTAGGGTTTAGGGTTTAGGGTTTAGGCTTTAGGGTTTAGGGTTTAGGGCTGTTCTGGGAGTTGTGGGGGTTTCCGCAATTGGGGGGTGCCTTATGGGGGTCCTGATTATAAGGGAATCCTAGACTTTGTTTTGGGGGGTGGGGGGGGGTCCCCTATTTTCGTCAACTCCCATATGGAGTTTTGGCTATGGTTTCCGGACATTTCCGGACTTCGGGTTTGGGATGTTCTTAAGTGGGATATAAGAGCTTTAGCTAGTGGATTTTCTTTAGGCTTTACAGTATGACGACTGCGTTGCTCACTTTCGTTGTTGGTTCCGTTGTGCGGGGACGAAGTATCAACGAGTCACGATGAACTTATTCAATGCTGGCCCTGACCCTATCCCTCCTGCCTTCACAAGCCAAGCATCACCCGGCACAGCAACATTGTTCCACACACCTGTGCCGAACTCTCTTCCTAGCTTGCAATAGTTAAACGCACACCCCAACTACAGGTCACCAGTGCTGTCAATCGATCATTGACTCGACCGCGCTCTCTCAGAATTTCAGAGAATTTCAGAGATGATAGCACAACACAGAGGCAACTGCAAAGAGCATCGGGGAGGTTTGCTCTGAAACCCCAAAGAGCAGACTGCAGACCCGCAACCCTCGTCCCAAAACCCCCCCGGGCCGCTCCAAGTACCTCCCAATCCAAACTCTGCAGTGTGAATCCTTGAGAAGCTATACTCAGTTGTCCAGTACCTAGGGGTTTTAAAGGTTAACCTTTGGGAATATAAGGGGAATATATTAACCCAAAAAGGTTAAAGGTTACCTACTCTACTACTAAGTATAAGCCTTACAAACACTATGGTGTGGACCAGTGGAATTAGAACCTCATGTCGTTGCCCTAAACCCTAAACCCTAAACCCTAAAACCCTAAACCCTAAACCCTAAAGGGCCGTCAGGATTTCAAACCCGGAGAGCTGCCCGGCAGACCTTATCCCGCTCTGCCCCGCTGAGCTGCCCCGGGACAGGGTAGTGGATCTCTTCCTGCGTGGGAGGGGTAGAAAGGGTAGATCGGGTCAAGCGCGTTTAAGTGTGCTTGTGATCCTAGGTAGGATAAGGGGGACCCTTAAAAGGGAACCCCTTCTTTACCCTCTTCTGGCCCTCTTAAACAGAGACCTTATTCAGAGGGTCTATATCCCCAAGGGTCCCCCTAATCCTATCCCCTAGTGTATGTGTGTGTGTGTGTGCTTTTCTGAGCTTCCAGCTCGAAGCTCGCCGAGAAACTTGCGAAACACTGGCCGGAGAAGCGTGCGAAAAGTCAAAAACCGAGCTCTGCACTTTTCGAGGGTACGCCCCACGTTGGTTTTGCAAAACGGGTGAAGCGAAGCTCTGAACCTCGCGAGCTTCGCTTCGGAAGCCTGAACTCTGAAGCTCGCGGGCTTCAAATCTCAAGCTCGTGAGCCTGCAGCCTGAAACTCGGGAGCTTGTCTTTTGAAGCCTGACAGTCTGAAGCTCGCGGGCTTCGAGGCCGGCGGCGCACCCGGGCAGCACCCGCGCTGCCGACCATGGGTCTTCTCGAAGACTCGCACTTTGGACGAAAACCGCCCTCTTGCCAGGATGGGCTATTAGGCCCCATAATCCCCATAATCAACCCCATAAAGGGCCTTGTTAAGGGGTTATGGGGTATAATAGCCCATGCTGGTGCCTAGGCGCGGGCGTGGCCGCGTTCGCCATCCGCGAAACTGTCAGCACTTTTTCGAAGCCAGGGGCTCCAGAAATGCGAAACGGTCGCCGCTGTTGGATGTCCGGGTTCGCGGAAATTTGCGAAACTGTCCTTCACTTTAGGGTTTAGGGTTTAGGGTTTAGGGTTTAGGGTTTAGGGTTTAGGGTCTGCTCCTTGGCTGAAGGTGTGGTTGTTCTGCTTCCTGCTGCGTCTGGAGTGAGTGTGTGGTTCTTCTGCGTGTTGGTCCAGGCTTAGGGGGGCCACAATGGACCAGTACATCACATGCCCCCAGCTATTATTATTACTATTATTACTATTATTACCATTATTACTATTATTTTTGTAATTATTATTATTCTGTTTATTATTATTACTAATATTACTACTACTAATATTATTATTAGTTGCTATTAGTATTTGTTATTGTTATACCACTTCGTGCTACCAGAAAAGCCACCCACGGAACCTGGGGACCTTGCGTTGAAGGGCGGGTGAAGCTACCAAACCTTGTCAGCCACAAACGGCAGAAAAGTTAAACCCTGAACCCTAAACCTCAATCATGTAAGTCTCATAAGTATTAAAATTATGCATAAGTTGTGTGAGGCACGGGCAGGGGGAGTAGGAGCCAAAAGAGTGGACAACTGCAGCAAAAAGCTGCATGAGCTCTCACCTGTGTAGTAGAAAAGCACCCCCCCCCCCAAAGAAAACGATAAAAGACATGATAAGCAATGCTGGCCGAGCTGCTGGGAATGGCTTGTCTTCCTGTCACAGAAAGCTCTCTGCCCATCACGCCAGGCTTGACCAAACTAGGGTCGACTTGCAGAGTTAAACCCTAAACCCTAAACCCTAAACCCTAAAGCCTAAACCCTAAACCCTAAACCCTAAACCCTAAACCCTAAACCCTAAACCCTAAACCCTAAACCCTAAACCCTACCATAGCATCCCATAGCCACCCTGCCAATGCGGCAGGGCGGCAAAGCGGGAACAAAGCGGGAGCTGCTTGACTTGTTTCCCAAGCCCCAAACAAAGCCAAGGGCGGAACCCTCCCAAACTCTTACCCCCCATGTTTTGGATGTCGACTCCTGATATGACCCCTTAATACCAGCATCGGCGATTATACCCTATAACCCCTTTAAAGCGGCCCTTTATACCCTATAACCCCTTTATAGGGTTGGTTAGGGGGTTTGTAGGGCCCAGTAGCCCTCCTGGTACCCAAAGAGCCCAATACCCCTTACTTAAGGAATATTCCTTAAATCATAGTCAGGATCCCTATATGATTTAAGCTATATACTATATACCTTAATTAAGGGCTATTGGGCTCTCTGGGTACCTATCCGGCGGCCTGCGCAGCCTCGAACGGCTCGCCATTGAGCAGCCCGAACTTCATGAGCTCCAGAGCTATCAGGCCTGCGTTTGCTAGGGGTTTAGGGTTTAGGGTTTAGGGTTTAGGGTTTAGGGTTTAGGGTTTAGGGTTTAGGGTTTAGGGTTTAGGGCGTTTGCGGGCGGTCAGGTGTAACCAGGATGGGCGATTCTACCCTATACCCAGAGAGCCCAATACCCCTTCCTTAAGGAAGATAGCTTAATTTATAATAAGGGTCCCTTTTATCATTTAAGCTATATTCCTTCATTAAGGGGTATTGGGCTCTTTGGGTATATAGCCCCAAAAGAGTGCCCTTTAAGGGTTGATCCCATCCTGATTGAGGGGCTCTGTTTAGCCATACTGGTAGCCAAAGCGGAAGTTTCGTCTTGGAGAACTCGAGTATCCTCCTGCTCGGCCCCTACTCCATGGTGCGCCCCGCTGCGCCCGAAGACCCCTAAACCCCTAAACCCATAAACCCTTAAACCCCTAAACACCCTAAACCCCTAAACCCCTAAACCCTAAACCCCTAAACCCCAAAACCCTAAACCCCTAACCCCCTAAACCCCTAAACCCATCCTAAACCCTAAACCCTAAACCCTAAACCCTAAACCCTAAACCCTAAACCCTAAACCCTAAACCCTAAACCCTAAACCCTAAACCCTAAACCCTAAACCCTAAACCCTAAACCCTAAACCTAACCCTGGGACCCCCAGACTCGACCGCTGCAAAGAGCCTGGTTCCATTAGCGTGGCCGGAGTCCTTAGGTTGGAACGGGGATGAAAGGGTTTAGGGTTTAGGGTTTAGGGTTTAGGGTTTAGGATTTAGGGTGTAGGGTCTAGGGTCTAGGGTCTAGGGTCTAGGGTCTAGGGTTTAGGGTTTAGGGTAAGGGGAGTGTGAGCTTGCAGGGTTTGCCCCGGATAGGCCTTCGTCCCAGACTCAAAACATGACTGGTGAGGGAATGAGGTACCCTATATTACTCCCTTAAAGGGTATTATAATAGGGCCCTAATTCCCTCATTCCTTACGAAGAACCTAATTAGACCTTGATTCCCTCATACCCTACGAAGAACCAAAGGGTTTGGACCTCAGTGGCTGCCAGGCAGCTGCTTGAGCACGTCGCTCAATACTGTCGCAGCTCCGTCGTCGCTGATGAGATCCAGCTTCTCCTGCTGTTCTATGAGGTGTAGGGTTTAGGGTTTAGGGTTTAGGGTTTAGGGTTTAGGGTTTAGGGTTTAGGGTTTAGGGTTTAGGGTTTAGGGTTTAGGGTTTAGGGTTTAGAGCTTAGGGTTTCGGAGGCTCTGATGAGCTCAGCACATTCCACCAAGCAATGCAGGAAAAAACAAAGAGAATGACAATGAGCACCAGTCAAGGCCAAGCCAAGGTTGCCATGGTCTGGGTGTAAGCGGACGGGTAATACACCGCTATGTCGCGTGAGCCGGTGTATTGTTATACTGATGTGGACGTGCACCGGAGTGGCGCGTCAGTGCGCCGCTGCGCGACATCCGGGGTCCGGGGGGGGCAGAACGGCGTATCGGTGTGACGGTTTATTGGCGAGGGCTTTTTACCGGACACTGTTTGCATTCACCCTGCAGCCCCCCCCGAAGTTAATCCTTTTGATCCTTCTGAGGGGGGATGCAACCGACCCCAGTATGCAAAGAGTGCGGGTCCAGCACAATGAAGTGCACCAGCGTAGAGAGCGAGTGCAAGTCAGCATCGCACGTGGGTGGCGCTTGGTCCTTGATTGCAGCTAAGGGCTTCTGTTTTGGGGCTGGGGATCCCAAAGAGCCCAATACCCCGTAAATAAGGAATATATGGCTTAACTTACAAAGGGATCCTTATTATGATTTAAGGAATATTCCTTCATTAGGGAGTATTGGGCTCTTTGGGATTGAGTGTTGGCTCTGACGGCTTTCATGACTTGGTGCAGGATGTTGGCTTCATGCGTTGAGCTTGCAGTTGGTTGCAGGGTCTTGGGTTCAGTCCGGCCGTCGCAAATGCCCAGCAATGCCCATCACAAGAACTGTTGCTGCCGCTGGCGCCTGCTGCTCATTGAATGCTGGTGAGCTTGAACCCCGAATCATGGAAATCGCCTAGCCCTTAAGCGCCAGCCCGCCCAACCAAAACCTGAAGCCCCCCGCCCCAGTCGACCCTAAGCCAGTTCTGCATGAAGCCATTCGCGAAAACAAGGGCTCCATAGGTTCAAGATGTTTTGAAGTTTATCATGAGGAGCCGAAAGCAACAAGCACAAAGGACACTTGCTCCTTCCTTTCACGAAGGCGCTTCAACTTCTTCAATGCCACATGCTCTCCGAGATTCGGTGAGACCCTTCAGCAGCTGGCCCTCGATTTCGAACTCCTGAGCTTCCACGGATTTACTCAGAGACGTCTTCGGGGCTTGGCGTTTTAAGGGGCGGTGGAGGGTCTAGGGTTTAGGGTTTAGGGTTTAGGGCTTCGAGGGAGCGACGTGGAAGTGTAGCTTGCTCTTTGGCAGAACATTCAGCGAAGCCATGCAGCCAGCCATGGAGCGGGCAGCTAGTTGCACAAGGGTGGGTTGGACTCATCAGGGTTCAGGGTTTAGGGTTTAGGGTTTAGGGTTTAGGGTTTAGGGTTTGTGGATGCCCCTGCTGATGTGTCCAAGAATATGCGACGCTCAAGACGGACGGGTCTGGACTGCTTGATGCAGCCGAGGCACATGGGCATGCCAGTTCAGGCAAAACTTGAAGTCAACCTTTTCGACTCCCTGTCTTGCCATCTCCGCTTTAACCTGACGGAATGGAGATTTCTTGAGGGGGGCTCAGGTTGAGGATGACAATGTACCCAGAGAGTCCAATACCCCTTAATTAAGGAATAGAGCTTAAAATATAATAAGGATCCCTTTATCATTGAAGCTGTATTCCTCAATTAAGGGGTATTGGGCTCTTTGGGTAGTCGTCTTCCAGGGATGTGTGGACCTCGCAGCCCGTGCACGGCTGAGGTGGACCTCTGAGCACTAAGCTGTGCCAGATTCATTCAAGCCCTTGGCCAAACGTCTAATTGCCCATAAGTGCTGTGAGCCCCCAAACCCAAAGCCCTTAAGAGACCCAAAGTCCAGAACTCCGCATCCGCGTAGCTGCCCCGGCCCGAATCTTCCAGCAAAGTCCCTGCTTGATCTCCTCGGAGTGTGATGGGCTTCTTTGCAGCTAGTGACAGCTCCGGTGGATGCTTGGGAATGGCGGCAAGAATATGATTTGAATGCGCCGCATGTTTTCCTGGTAACCTAAGGCGCGGGGGTGAAAGCTCTAGCAGCTGGGGTGGTTGGTGCGCTTTCATCACACTTTGTCCACTTCACCTTTAGGGTTCGGGGTTTGGGGTTTAGGGTTTAGGGTTTAGGGTTTCGGGTTTCGTGTTTAGGGTTCGTGAGTTCAATGTAGACTGAGGGCTTGGAATTGGGTGCTTGGAGGTTCGGTTGAGCAAACGACTACAAAGCCCTAAAACCAGAAGTCCCCAGCTTTCATTGAGAAAACTTAGAGATTTTCGTGCCCTTTCCTCACAAATACACACCAGACTTCGAGATTGAGGTTGAGAAGTTGCGCCCTAAACCTAAACCCTAAACTCTACAAACCCTAAACCCTAACCCTAAACCCTAAACCCTAAACCCTAAACCCTAAACCCTAAACCCTAAACCCTAAACCCTAAACCCTAGGTCTGGGGTTCTGTGGAAGGCTCATTTCGTGCCTGCAACCCTTGCGCGACAGCAAACCAGAGCCCTAAACCCTAAACCCTAAACCCTAAATCCTAAACCCCAAACCCCAAACCCTTAAACCCTGAACCCTAAACCCTAAACCCCTAAACCCTCCCTGGAATCCTGAGCCGTGCCATGTCAGGGAGTCCCAAAACCTGAACCTCTGTGGAGCAACGTCCTCAACTTATACGAACAGCCCGTAATGGGGACTATAATCGGGGGTACTATAATCCCTACAAAGCACTGTTAGTATAAGGGGGAACAGGCCATGATGCTGCCTTGAAGAGGTTAAACCCCAAACCCCAAACCCCAAACCCCAAACCCCAAACCCCAAACCCCAAACCCCAAACCCTAAACCCTAAACCCTAAACCCTAAACCCTAAACAAAACTTCAAAGGACTTCTCTGCGCCTAGGCGCCGGCTGGATGAGGCGCGCCTCTTTCGGTAGGTTGGTGTCGCTACTCAGCGCCTGAGCCGGCGACAAGCTTCGGACTTTAAAGACTTTAGGGAGTGAGGGTTTCGGGTTTAGGGTTTAGGAGGGTTTAGGGTTTAGGGAATTTGGCTAAATTGGACATTGGATAGGGTTTAGCTCAAACCCCTAGAACCCAAAGGCCCCCGCAATGAAGCCCCAAGCCTCAAAACCTAAAGCCGCCCTCAGCCCCCCCCACACCCAAAAACCCAAAACCCAAAACCCAAAACCCTAAACCCTAAACCCCACCCCCCTCCCAAACCCGCCTCAGCACCGGGAGTCTATCGGGACTCCATTCTGACTCGTACAACGCAGCCAAACAACAAATCGACCGCAATCACCCTAATTGACCCCAATCCCAAACGAAGGAGCGATTGGGAGTTTGGGTGGATTCAGAAAGGAACATCCGAACATCTTGAACTGAAAAGCGCCTTGAACTGCAAAGCACCTTGCCTTTCAGGGCCCTGAAAGAGCCTCGTAGATACCCAAAGAGCCCAATACCCCTTAGTTAAGGAATATTCCTTAAATCAGAATAAGGATTCCTTTATAACTTAAGCTATATTCCTTCACTAAGGGGTATTGGGCTCTCTGGGTACGTTGCTGGGTCGCAAGAGGTTGCAATGCTTCTGAGATCTCAGAGTCAAGACTTTAGGCGGTAGCAGTTTCAAGGCAGGCCATGCTTGCCAGACTGCTAGGGTTTAGGGTTTCGGGTTTCGGGTTTCGGGTTTAGGGTTTAGGGTTTAGGGTTTAGGGTTTAGGGTGCTAAACGGATCTTGGCCCGCCTGTCGGACAGAGCTTGACTCCCAGAAAGCCTGCATGGAGACAAAAGCTTCTAGCTAGCTTGGCTGAGGGGCTCCCTAAGGGTGAGTGAGACAAAAAGATTTCGTCAGCAGATGGAGCCACGATGCAAGGGTTTTAGGGTTTAGGGTTTAGGGTTTAGGGATTAGGGATTAGGGATTGGGGAAGGTAGAATGGCGAGGACCCAGAGGGATGTTGCGGCCCGCAATAGCTTTGGAAACTCAACCCGTGCGAGATGTCCTGTGCCTGCGGTTCATGTTGCTGCTGACCCTAAACCCTAAACCCTAAACCCTAAACCCTAAACCCTAAACCCTAAACCCTAAACCCTCTACAAGAGGTTGCAATCAGACGGCTTCGGGCCGGCTTCCCGGCCCTTCGGCAACATTGCCACAGGGGCTCAGTTCTGCTCTGAGGTTGCGAAAGAAGGAACAAGGGTTTAGGGTTTAGGGTTTAGGGTTCTAGGGTTCTAGGGTTCAAGGGTTCAAGGGTTCAAGGGTTCAAGGGTTCAAGGGTTCAAGGGTTCAAGGGTTCAAGGGTTCAAGGGTTCAAGGGTTCAAGGGTTCAAGGGTTCAAGGGTTCAAGGGTTCAGGGTTTAGGGCGGGTTAAGGGTTTAGGGTTTAAGGGTTCAGGGTTTAGGGTTTAAGGGCTTAAGGGTATTCAGGATTGGAGAACCTGTCCTCAACTTCCGCTGCGACTCTGCATTTTCAGAGACATGCTTTCGAGGCTTGACTTCACATGCAGCTGTCCCATGCACCCGAACTCTACTGTATCCCATGGGCAAGAAGCTATGCTCAAGGTTTAGGGTTTAGGGTTTAGGGTTTAGGGTCTAGGGTCTAGGGTCTAGGGTCTAGGGTCTAGGGTCTAGGGTTTAGGGTTTTGGGCTTCGGGTTTGGGGTTATAGGAAACTTCCTGTCAGGTTTAGAGAGCTTGAGCGCAGGCCGCATGAAACCTCATGCCGAACGGTTTCGGAATCGCGGTGCCTTGCACAAGATGTTCTTCTTGTGAAAGCTACCTGCAGCTCAAGAACTCAGTTGTCCAGTACCTAGGGGTTTTAAAGGTGAACCTTTGGGAATCTAAGGGGAATATACTAACCCAAAAAGGTTAAAGGTTACCTACTCTACTACTAAGAGAAGCTGCAGAGTTGAACTCTCCAAGGGGCCCTAAACCCTAAACCCTAAACACCAAACCCTAAAGCAATCCCAGACCCCAAGAAGCCTTACTTTGGAGTAAACCCTGGAAAAAAGTATATACTTTTTAGGTTCCAGTACCTCTAATCAGAACCTAGTACCAAAAAAAGTATTCAAGTATAGTACTGTACTCCGAAACCCAAGAACTTGAGGGTTTCGGATTGGGATGCCGGTGCTAACGCAATGCTCGGCCGCCAAGACGCTTTACAGTGCCCTTTCAATCGCCTGTCGGAACATGTCGAACCCTTGAAACTTTCCCCTAAACCCTGAACCCTAAACCCTAAACCCTAAACCCTAAACCCTAAACCCTAAACCCTAAACCCTAAACCCTAAACCCTAAACCCGTTCCCTAAACCCTAAACCCTAAACCCTAAACCCTAAACCCTAAACCCTAAACCCTAAACCCTAAACCCTAAACCCTAAACCCTAAACCCTAAACCCTAAACCCTAAACCCTAAACCCTAAACCCGAACCATTCAACCTTCGAGTCATGCCATGTGCATGCCCAGCTTCGATGCAGATGCTGCGCGATGAGCCCCAAGGAAACCCGCCTGAAACTGAAGTAGTACGTGTGTCTACATAAGACTGTCTTCCAGAACCTCTGCTTGCCGTTCAAACTCACTCAAACCTCGAAACTGTCAACCTGAACCAAGAGCTGTGAAAAAAAAGCAGCAACGCAAAACTCAGGGATAAAATTCGGGTGTTATGTAGAGTTCACTTGAGGGGCTCACTTGGCACCTGGGGGCCCCTGGCATTCACACCCCAAAGCATCTAACCATCTCCTTTTGCGCGGGAATATGTTGCTATTAGCTGGGTCGAATCGAACTTGATCATGCGGTAGATTGGAGGACTGCTGCTTATACGATGGCCATCGGATCTAGAGTTACATCAGCTCCGATACATCCAAGGAAAAGTGTTGCGAACTGCGCGGCTGTGTGGACTTTATGTCAATAATGGCGCTTTGAGAGAAAGAGCGGCATTGGCAACGCGGGATGTCTTGTAGCCGTTCACAGAACTAGGCGCAAACTTCAAAAGGGAACTGGGGTCGTGCGCAGCATAGGGCGGTTTGGTTGACCTCTCCTCAGATGCACAACTGGCCCTAGTAGCACTTTGGAGCATACTTCGGAGCGCCTGTATTCCTGCAAGTCGCCAAGGATCCCACGAAACCTCAGAAATCTGCAGCGCTCGGCAAGATCTAGCTTGTTTAGGCTAACACCGCAGAGAACCGCCTCACCCAAATGCACGGGCTCGTATATTCGGGGTGGCTCAGACAACATCGATATGTTCGCAGTAAAGAGCGTGTTTATGCCTCTTGTTCTTTGGAAGGTCTGTTCCGAGCCTCCATCATTGGGTCTCACATCTCACAAGCCTCGTTTTGTTCCGTTGCCTTGCGCCCGAAACGATGCGTCCGCACCCAAAACCAAACAAGCAAGCGGGGGACCGTCAGGGAGTCCCTTATGGTTAGAGAACTCTCCCTGCCCAAACAGACAATATGAAGTACCCCAGCGCCCAAGAACCTGTAATATGGACGGGCCTAGATAATTAGAACAGTTTTTTTTTTTTTGGCGGGGGGGGGGGGGTTGCTAGAGTAGATTCATGTCGGGACCCTAAGGGAATACTATTAATAACTCTTCCGACCCTGTATCAGAGCCTCAAGCTTCTTCTAGACTCCCCTTAGAACCTTAAATAAAAAATTACGCTTGTCAAGTCCTCTTGGGTTTTATATGAAAAAAATCATCAGAAGCGGGATATAGTAACCCTAAACCCTAAACCCTAAACCCTAAACCCTAAACCCTAAACCCTAAACCCTAAACCCTAAACCCTAAACCCTAAGCCTCTCAATTTACCATGAGAGCGACTCCGCAGTGTCAACCAAAGGTTGAGACTTGTCGGTCCACTCGCCTTTGGCCAATGCCTGGGCGCTGCCAGCCAGCACGGGCTACTATGCCCTACTAAACCCCTTAAAAAAAGGGCCCTTTAGGCCCGTTATAGGGTTGGCTAGATTATACCCTACTAACCCCCCTTTAAAAACAAAAGGCCCTTTAGAGGGTTGGCTATGGGGATAATAGGGCCGAGTAGCCCTAGTAACCCCCCCTTAAAAAGGCCCTGTAGAGGGTTGACTATGGGGATTTTCGGGCCGAATGGCCCATCCTAGAGTGGTCTGGGAAGTTATGATGTATGGATGTTCTGGTTTGGGGTTTGACCCTAAACCCTAAACCCTAAACCCTAAACCCTAGACCCTAAACGTGTTTGGGTTTGAGGTTTGCCTTTCAGCGGGATCTTCATTGGTCTACCTGTCGTTGCCGCCTGCTACGGCAACTTGGGCACGAACTTTGTGGACACTCTTCAACTACACTCCCCTTAGAACCTTAATAAACATACTATTTTTTTTTTATCCTCTTGGGTTGTATATGAACAAAAAAGTAGTTCCTAAAAGGGGGATATAGTCAAGATCATGACAGTGGATGGTTGGGTTGGCAAAGCTGAGCCAGTGATCATGCTGCATGCGAGCACATTGTGCTTCCATGCTGTCTTTGTGTTCTTGTCGCTCTCCTCCGTGTCCGGCCAAGATCATACTCGCATCTGAAGTCAGGAGAAATTTTGTGAAACGAGGAGCAGCGTTTCAGAAAGCAGGGGCAACAAAACAACTCAACGACGAGTAGATTCCGACAGTTGCCATCGGAAAACAGTATGGTCGAACACCTCAAGCTGCAAACGTAAGCCCTAAACATGAATTCCCCAAGCCCTCAAACTCAACCTTCAGCAGCTCTTAGCTCGAACATGCGGGCGCAAGGTGTCCGTAAGCTTTCTGAAGTCGGCTTTCTCTGTTAAACAAACCCTAAAACCCTAAAACCCTAAAACCCTAAAACCCTAAAACCCTACAACCCTAAAACCCTAAAACCCTAAAACCCTAAAACCCTAAAACCCTAAAACCCTAAAACCCTAAAACCTAAAACCCTAAAACCCTAAAACCCTAAAACCCTAAAACCCTAAAACCCTAAAACCCTAAAACCCGAAAACCCGAAAACCCGAAAACCCGAAAACCCTAAAACCCTAAAACCCTAAAACCCTAAAACCCCAAACCCTAAACCCTAAAACCCTAAACCGTGTTGTAACTCGCGTCGGGTGCTCGCTGGGTGCCCTGCCTGTGGCAGCTTGTGGGAGATGATTCCGTGCAGCATCAGGTAGTACCTTCACGGCGCTTCGGCTTCGAAGGGTCGGGTTTAGGGTTTAGGGTTTAGGGTTTAGGGTTTAGGGTTGAGGGTTGAGGGTTGAGGGTTGAGGGTTGAGGGTTTAGGGTTTAGACTTTAGGGTTTAGGGTTTACTAAAAAGGATGGAGGGGACTTTGCCCCACCATGCATGGAAACTCGCCAAATTTCGACCCCAATGAATCCCTAGCTCCCTCTGGGCAAGTACGAATTGCGCCTAACCCCCAACCCCTTCTTAAAGCATATACAATCAAACACGCTAAACCCTAAACCCTAAACCCTAAACCCTAAACCCTAAACCCTAAACCCTAAACCCTAAACCCTAAACCCTAAACCCTAAACCCTAAACCCAAGCATATACAATCAAACACCCTAAACCGCTAAACCCTAAACCCTACTAAACCCTAAACCCTAAGCCTCAAGAGCCTGCCATGCTTGCAGGGCTGAGGGCTAAAACCCTAACCCCCACGCTCTTCTTAAAGCATCTACAATCAAACACCCTAAACCCTAAACCCTAAACCCTACACCCAAACCCTAAACCCTAAACCCTAAACCCTAAACCCTAAACCCACCAAGGGGCAAGGCCGGAGGCAACTTTGCGCCCATGATCAAGGAGAAATCGACGGGGATTGGCGGCCTGTGGCGCTCAAGACCAGAGTCTTAGTGCTTAGGGTTCAGGGTTTAGGGCTTAGGGTTCAGGGTTTGGGGTTCAGGGTTTGGGGTTTAGGGACACCCTGAACGACCCTGAAGCCTTCTGACCGAGTCTGTGACGTTGCTTTTGCGCAGATAGCCACCCCAGCTTAGCAGTCGTCGTTCTTCCAGGGGGCTTCACAGCCCAAAATGCTAAGTCCTAGGTAATCTAGGCATCACATGTCAGATACCCCACAAAGAAAGCCCCGTAAAAAGGGGGGGGGAGTTTCCCAACATCGCTTACAATCCTTTAGTCGGCCAGTGCCGGCCACTGCCCCACAGTTAAGACCTACAGTAAACTCCAAAGAAGTTGGAGCATCCCTTCTCCCCATACCCCAAAAGGTATACTAAAGGGTATCCCAGCTCTTCTCATCCTAAAACCATGTTCTAACTATCCTGGAGTCTACTGTACAAGCCTCGCCATGTCTTGTTCTGTAAAAGGGGCAGGATGCACGCTTGATTGCCTCGCCAAGCACTTTCTGAGTCTTATGAGTCGCCAATGTGACAACACATTGTTGACTGTTCTGTAATCTCAACAAGGAGGGGGCCCCAATTTTGTTGGACAAAAACGGCAGAGAGACACGATTCACGCAAACGCAGGGGCAACCAGCCAGAAAGCGACAGCAAAGTCAGGACCCTGCCCAGACTTGAAAAGAGATTCTCGCCGATTCTGGCTGGCTCTACCGCATGTCTGAAACAAGTGAGGGGTTTTTGATTGAGAGTGTAAGGGAGGCTTCGACAACCTCCTCAGTCGACCCTCAGAAGTACCCTGATACACTTGGCCCAAACCCTGAAGCATCAAAGTCTCAGGCCCAGGGGCGGTGAACTGCCAGGTCTACAAGCACCCAGGGGCCGAATCGCATGATCCTGCTGTCCGAAGAGGTTCCGGTCTGATGTTTGACGGGGCGGTACCCAACTGAGGAAGGTGTGCGTTTTTAGGGCCATGTAGAGATCGCTGAAACCATCTTCTGCTGTGAGCTAGCTGCACCAGCTTTATGTACGAAAGACCTGGTTGAAAAACTGTTGCAACCCAAGAGAAACTCTGAAGATGCGCTTGCCTACGAAGTACTATAGGGGCCACTTTGTTCCACGTTTTGATCCCGATCCTACGGGCCATGGCTTGAACCACCCTGAACTGGGCAACCTGGCGCAATATGCTCAAATTTCACTTTGGGGTGTTCCCCTTCTAACAGCTCCTTTATACGGATTATGATCCCTATTAAGGACTCTTAGTATAAGGGGGAACATCCCCAAATTTCACCTCTAAAGGCTTCTGGCGCAAGAGCCGGACGCTCACAGACGCCCAGAAGGCAATTCCGGGAATGCGCCCTGCTGCACTCTGGCCTGCAGATGAAGAACTGGGGAATTTTGTACCTCAGATTCTGGAACTACGAAAACATTTAAACATCCTTATGTCTGAATTCTCGAACCATTATGGGATCGGGCTGGTTCATCCGAAAGCACAAAGCCCCTCTCTCCTGCAATCTTTTGCTACTTGCCAAAGAAGCTAGAGGAGACTGCGATGTTTCACAGCCAACGTTGATCAAGGGTCGAGCCCCGCGGCTGAAAGCCCTGGAAGTCCAGGACCATGTTTGCGCACATACATACATACATACATACATACATACATACATACATACATACATACATACATACATACATACATACATACACACATTGCTTTGCATTTCCTAAACCCTAAACCCTAAACCCTAAACCCTAAACCCTAAACCCAAGGAACTAGGCTTTCCGGCTTGGTTTAGGCAAGCCCATGCACTCCCTGCAGCCGGCGAGAGGTTGAGCCCACAAGTCTGAGCCCCCCACCTCGATGCCTTCAGGAACCTCGGCCTACCTCCCAAGCCCATGAGACCCTGAGACACCCAAAGTATCGAAGGATATCACTCATCCAACATCTGCCAGAGGTGCTAGCACCTTGCAGATGCAGTAGCCGTCCGCGTGATCTGTCTTCCTTGGGCCCCCAACTCCTAACCCTCGGAGCTCAAGGTCTGCTTTCATGGCACTGTGGGCACAGGAGTGACAGGCCCCGTCATCTGCGATCTACACCACAACCCTTATCACTGGCATGCCCAGGACCATTTTTACCTCTATCATCCCTTGCCTCTGCTTTTCGGCCACCAGGAACCAACCAACATAAGATCTGCCAGTACCATGTGTACAGGCCCTTCGGAGGAGCTTACCATCACTTTGCCTTGGACTTAGGGCTTCCCAGCAAGCTCCAACTTTGAAGAGAGCCCTTGAAGAATACAACAGACATCTCAGCATCCAAAATCTCACGGAGATTCTGACTTCAGTTGCCTGAGTCGAAACCTTAGAACTTGGCAAATCGCTGTCGCCTCAACCACTTCTAGTCTCCAAGCCGTCCAGGGCAACTCGACCCTGAATTCTAAAGTTCAAATGAGGATGCAGGGAACCGATGTTGCGCTGTGCCCTCAGGGTGTGAGATACCCACGGATAGACACTGCTCTACAAGTTTTCTTATGCGCAAGTCTTGGGTTCGACCAAAGAAGCAAAGTCACACAACTGTTGTCACCATCAAGTCAGTTCGGGTAGCTACAATAGGAGTCTCCGCACAAAAGATGTGCCAAACTTGCTGCGTGAGCTGCATCTCCTCTGTGGGAAACGTCTGCATCCAGTTGATCAGTGGCGCCTGTTTGATAATGTACCTTGGCTTGGAAACATGGGACTTCTGGGATCGTGACCGCTATTAGCAACACGACGAACCGGAAGAAACCTGAAACCTCGATGCACGCAAGGACGCTTGTGCTAGGTCGAAGTGCTACCTTCCTGTAACTTACTTCTCCAATAACCAAGGGGAAAAAAGGTTAAACTTTAATGTTCCTACTAAATAAGGAAACCCAAAAAGTTTAAAGTTCAACTAAAGGCGAAGTAAGGTAAAATTGGTGCACAGTCGGCTTGCCAACGACTGACGGGAGTATCCCCCCATCCGTTCAGCTGGAAGCCCACTTGTCGACTTGTCGACACGTTGAAATTGGAACCACCCTGACCCACACAGTAAACTGCACCATGCAGTTCCTTGAGAAGAGCGAAATTCTGCCTGCACCTATTCAACCAGCAACGAAGGCCACAGCCAGCAATCTTGTTCAATCCTAATCCCCAAGCCTCGAATCCTAACCTTCAGACCCCCAAGCCCCAAACGTAGATCTTGTTTGCACCCACCCTATATGAAATAAACTCTGAACCGGCATGCCAAGACCTTGAAACTCAAGACGAACAAATTCTCCAAGCTCGCAAGCCTTCAGCCCAACTCTCAGACTCAGTGACACGGCCGCTTCGAAGTTGAAGCGTGCAGCTTGAGCAGCGGCTTGTGCTGCCTCGAATATAGGGGTCGGAATCATTACTCATGTTCCCTTATGGCTCCTTTGCAATAATACTACAATAACCCCCCAAAACTAGCGTCCTTAGTTTTATCACGCCGTTTATGGCTTCTCTTTGGACTCATTAGCAACAAGAAATGGAAAACAGACTCCGGTAAGAACGGCCCAGCCACAGCCATGCCACCTCCTCCCACGCTCCCTTGCAGGGACATAGGGGGTCCATGGCTTGCGGAAAGGAAGGTCAATTTAGGGTTTAGGGTTTAGGGTTTAGGGTTTAGGGTTTAGGGTTTAGGGTTTAGGGTTTAGGGTTTAGGGTTTAGGGTTTAGGGGCGAAAAGCTTATAAGGACGCATGGAGTGGTGTGACAGTCAGATTTAGAGGAGGAAGAGGCTCTACAGGTTTAGTAGAGTGATGGTAATGATACCCTAAACCCTAAACCCTAAACCCGGTAATGGTCTTGGCGATGGTACTGGTTCTGGTGATGGGAAGTGGAACTAGTTCGTGGACCTGGCAATGGACATGGTACCTGTGTTGCAGAAGGGCTTTTCCCATAATCGGGGGTACCCCCTTTCATACCTCCAATAGAATAGAATCCTCCTAAAGGGACCCCCAAAAAGGGCACCCCCATTTTCGGAAACCCCCACAAGTTTTGTATTCGAGCGGTGGGTTAGTATTCGCATTAACACTAGTATTCATAGTTTTATATCCATAAAATTCTTATTTTTTTAAACTATTATTATTGTTTATGTTCGTATGGTAGTAGTAGTGAATGTTTCGGAAGCTGACCATTCCCATCTCAAACAACTGAAAGAAGTCATAACAAAGACCTCCCTGCCCTTGGAACCGCTGCTCCAAGCACATGGGCGGTAAAGCGAAGCCCGTGTTTATGAGAGGTCATTGTGACAAGGTATGTCTTTTGGGGCCTGCGCGAAGGTCCCGCGAGGCCACGCGAGGTCAGGTAAACCGCTTGCCTAAATATTGGCCTCGAGCCACTAGAGGGGGTCTGCAAAAACAGGGACTTCCCCATTGTGACCGCTCAATGTTACGACTTCTCGTTTTGCTCCCCACTAATGTGGGCAGCGATCGACAAGAAATCGCTAGGACTTCGGTGGTTCGCTTGCAACGCACAGCCCTCAAACTTCCCACTGTGCAGTCGAGTGGCCCAAGTTGAGATAGGGGTAAGTGAGACAATATTCTGTCCCAGCCAGCATGCAAGCATCTACCTTGGCAGGGTTCCCAAGGCTTCGGTCAAAAACCCGACACCCGGAGCCACGGTGGCCAGAGGCTTCCCATGACTCGAAAGGGGGGCAGAGGGTTTAGGGTTTAGGGTTTAAGGTTTAAGGTTTAGGGTTTAGGGTTTAGCGTCCTAAGTAGTAAAACTGTCGGGTTTTAGAACAAAGTAAACGGCACCCTTCCTCGGGCGACTGAGTTTCTTGTATGTGTCCCCTGTAGTCTGGCTGGCAGCAGGCCCCAACGTTGCAAGGACGTGCATCCCAACGCACTCTCAAGAACTAAGCAACATACCGCTCCGCATCTCTTCTGTCAGGAGGCCGGGTGCCGATCCCTAACCATGTTGCCATGCCAAAGCCCCATGGAACATGCTCGCCCTAAACCCTAAACCCT